ATCACACATTGGTTACGCATTAAGAACAGAAAATTTCTCACTTTTAACATTTTATTTCAATCGATTTCAAAGTATATCGAAATTAATTGGAGAAATGTTCATCGAAGAAGATTTGTTGAAGTTAATCAAAGAGAATCATCAAGACAATTCCAAGAAAATCATCGAGAACTTGAAACAGTTTTTGAAAATGGATCACAAATTAATCGATAAAGATATCGAACAATTGGAGAAAACATCGATATTTCTTCGACAAATGACAAAGCATTTTCAATTCAATGATTTATTCTCCGAAGGTCTTCATTTACCATTGAAAGATTATGACTTATCTCATCCAGGAGTCGGAGTTTTTCTCGACAACCTTTCTTTCCTTCAAAGGTGTTTTCCAGAATTGAAAAGTGTTTACCTGAAGTATTGTCGAGATCTCTCTGAAGCATTTCAAGTGCAATTTGATCAATCGCTTGATGAAACGATTCCCAATCATCAATTGAGTGAAATTCTGGATAAAATTTCTCAATTAATTCCAAGTTTAAATGAACATTTAGAGAAACGAATTGAGAAGAAATATTCGGAAATGGTGGAAACGGTTTTTCAACATTTTCAAAAGATTTCCGATCGAACGAAATCAGTTTTATTTAAAATAAATCTAAATGAAAATGACCTCAAATCCATTGAAAATGATTTATCGACGTTAAAATATGCAAAGGAGACAAAACTATTCGAAAAGCTTTTAACGGTCAGCTTTAATGACATTTTGGATGAATTGATCGGAAATTTACTGAAATTTACCGAAGAAATTTCTTTGAAAATCAAAGAATATTTAGAAAAAACACGATTTCGATTTGATTCAACACTTAATTGAACAATTTCGATTAATTCGAACATTGTCCGACATTGAAGAACGAACAAATCGAAGTTTCTACGGAATGATCGATTCAATTTGTCTTTTCCTTCGAAAACTACGAGGAGAAATCCAAGAACTTATTCACGAGCTCGATGTTTCCCCCAAATCCAATCAAATGTGCAAACTCATTAATTTATTCACACACCTGAAACAATTCCAACGCATCGCTGAATTCTCTCCGAAACTTGTCGAGAAAATTCTCGAAGAAATTCAAAAGGAATTTTTCGAACAGATGGAAGACTTGGAATGGAAACTAAAAAAGCTAAATCTCGATTTTCACCACCCGGACAACGTTCGTTTAGCCAATGAAATTCTTCAAAAGCTCCATTCGTTCAAAGATCTTCATCGTTTTCTTCCTCAGCTTAAAATCTGTGAAGAACAAATCAACAACGAATTTTATGAATCAATCAAAGCGATTTTCGACTTAATTCCACAGAAATTCAATTTACAAGAGAGAAAAGTTGACAATCTAAGAGCTGAATTGAATCGTTTGAAAGAGTTGCAACAGCAATATGAAAGTTTCTGTCCGTCGATTGTTTATTTGAAAGAATTGGGTTATTCGAATATTGATCAAGTGAAAAATGAAATCGAACAAAGAGAAAAAGAACATGAGAAACAAAATGTAGAATATCTTGGCGAGAAAAATCACTTAGAGAAGAAAATCAATGAACCTGAAGTGATTATTCAATCCTACGGAAAATCAATTCTTTTCAAAAATTCGAAAAATATTTTTGGGAAAGATTATGATAAACTGACAGATCCAGCGCAACAAGATGGATATTCAAATATCAATCAAGTTAAGGACAAAATGGTAAATCATCGAAATGATCTGGAGAAAATGGAAAATCATCGAAATGATCTGGAGAAAATCCATCAAACTCATCTAAAAAATCAAAATAATTTGCAGAAGAAATTAACAAATCTTCAAGCAATTCAAAATCATTATTTCAAATTAATTCAAGAAGATTCAGACAAAGGAAATGTCTTTCTAAATGAAAGTTCTTCTAATAATTATGGAAATTTATCAAAGAAAATCGAAGAAATCACCACCGATTTCAATTATTATGTTCAGTTAAAACGACAATTTTACTTTAACAGTGAATGTAATGCATCAGCTATGAATTGTATCTTTATTTATCTTAATCAATTTGACAATTTCATCGATCCATCTATTCAAAAATTAGCGATTGAGATGAATGAGTATCTGAAAATTTATCTTAATGAATATGTGAAGTTTGCTGAAAAAGAAATTGAACGATATTTTAATTATTTAATTAAATCAAAGACAAATATATTTTTTAAAGAAAATCTCGAAAAATATTTATTAAATTTACTTTCGATGAGGAAATTCGAAATTGTTTTCAAATATTCGAATGGCGAAAAGAAATTGAAACATTTTCAGAAGAAATTCGTGAATTTTCATCATTCGATTATTATTGAAATTGAAGAAGACAAAATCAATGAAAATTATGTAGATTTCAAAAGCAAATTATCGCTTCTTTGTTCTCTCAATTGTTTAGATGAATTTTTCATCGAACTGAACGAAAATGAAACATTCGCAAAATCTTTTCAAAAATATCAAGAAGATTTTCGTCAAATCTCCAAAGAAACCTATCAATTAATCTTAAATTCAATTTCCAAACAAGATTTTCTCTTGATTAACTCGAAACTTTCATACATGATCGAAGTCTTTGCCAACAAGAGATTTGTTTCGCATCTGAAAACGAATTTGGAAGCCAATCTCGAAGTTTTGATCAAGAATACGAAACAATTCGGCAATTTGTTTTACGAAAATCTTCAATATAAACAAGAAAATGAAAATCTTTTTCAGAAACTCGCAGCAAATCTTGATCAACTGCGAATTGTTCGTCGACAAACGAACATTTTAAATTTTATTGAAAAAAATCTGAAAATTTCATTGGAAAATTTGGCCAATGAAGTTGAACAAATTTTAAGAAAAAAACTTTTGAATCTTCTTCAATCAATTGAGAATTATTTCAAACAAAATGATTTTCTTTTAATCGAGAAAACCATCGAATATGTGAATTATTTCTTAAATCAATTTCAAGATTATTTTTCATTTAAATCAACCGAACATCAAATCAATGAAATGAAGACAAGAATTTCTCAATTACCCAAAGAAATTCTTCAACAATATGATTTTATCGATTTGAATAAATATCTGAACGATTCACCAAAATATCTTTGTCAACAATTGAAAGTTGTTTCATCGAATGGTTATACAAAATATTCCGATGTTTATCGACAAATTTTGGAGAAAATTCGAACGAATTTCTTATCAGAAATTAACAATGTCAAAGACAACCGAGTTTTGAATCGATTAAATAAAATGCGATCAATCAGAGATGCGTTTTATTCATTACCAGATGAATTACAAAGTGTTTTTGAAAATGACATTGAAGAAATTAATCAATTGATTAGAAAAGAAGTTCGCATGTTCGAAATCGATTAGAATTAATTTAATCTGAAATTAATCATCAGTTTTTCGATTTCAACATACTTTCTCTATTTGTTCATTTCTAACAGGAACAGTTCAATAAAAGGATTAAGTACTATTTTTTGTCTGTATTGATGGCACAGACAAGAAAGGAGGTACTCAGCCTTCGTCATCCACAGTTTTACTTGAAATTTATTCAGAATCATCTTAAACATTGATGAATTATCATACGGATGTTTGTAGGCCTTACAAAGTTCAATTGAATAGCGTTTTTACGGTCAAAAGGATCAATATCAATCATAATATTTGTAAAAGTGAAGGTTAGAAAAGAATACTCATAGATTCACCTCGATGAACATCATCAAAATGTAGTTGTGATAGGTTGGATACAAATCCTTAACAACAAACGAACTTATTCTAACAGCGTTTCTTTTCTAGAGGTTCTTGAAATAGTTTGAAAAAAAAAGATCGGGAAAACATCGACAATATGTGTACTTTTGTGTATTATACGTTTTCTTATCTTTCAACAAAGCATGCCCTTTTCTCGACATCTCATCATCGGAAATTGAATTAATAAAACAAATTATAAAGAAAAAAAAAGCATCTGATAAGTTTCCTTTTCAAAATCGACCCACTTTGTTATAGAAGTTACGATATTCAAAAACAATAAAATACATTTCTACAGCAACACATCTAACATCTATAATGAAATCTTTATATCTTTCACAAGTTATCTCCATTGTATTTGTAACATTTTGTATTGGAACATATCTTGGTTTAGAAATATTCTAGTAGGACAAGAAGTACACGACTTGTTTGCATCATTCATACGACAATTCGGCCACAACGACAAGTTCGCTCTCAGATCTATATTTTATCATTTGATTGCTCATGTAGATATTTTCCGTCTTGGTATTGTCGTCCATCTGCTGTGTTCTTCTGTTAGCAATAGTTATATTGCCACAATTCTAGTGGTGTTACTGAGAAAAAATTCAAAATCGCCACCAACAAGTAGAAGATGCGCCACAAAATTCCATCGATTTTTATTCCCGTTAAAAGATGTGACACAATATGTTTTCACTAATGAAATTTCTATGGTTTATGGAACACAATGGTTCATGATGATGGCATGTTATCGACACCCTGTACTGGAATCGGCAACTATAATCCAAGTGAAATACCAAAAGACGCGTTCGATGGTAACATCAGTACTAAATATACTACGTAGTTATGGAATGTGTAATAAAACTGCTATATTTTTCTATGATTGTGACACAAAGACTGGTGTGTATTTCATACTGCAATGAGGAGCATTGCTACTGACGGGTATACGATTTCGTGCTGCTAATAGTGGTCTGGACTGTGATCTAATGACAATAACTATAGAAGGAAATAATCAACCTTTTTCTGCACTACTTATGGGTTCTAGTTGGACTTTGATCTACAATGGTTCAAATGGTTTAGATCTTGATCTGGGTCTATATAATGTTAGTGTGATCGAAACAATATCAAATCATTTTGTTCGATACGATAGCTATCGTCTTCTCATAACTTCAATACGTAATGTCTCAAATGGCGTCCAGTATAGTGAAATAGAACTATTTGGTTATTGACACACTCATGATGTCATTGTTCAATATTTGCTGTGACTGATTAACAGAGAAATTATTCTATCACTTCTGTTCATATCGTTTCTTTTAAATAAGGGTTGGAACTAATGAAGTTGCTTTTTGGCTTGATGATTCTTTGTTTACGGTATTAAAAACAACAATAATCGATTGACACCATCCAGAAAATGCTCAATAGTATTCTAAGAATGAATGCAAAAGTTAATTGATACTTTCTACCTATTAATTGCATCATTAGTCATCCACAATAGATCGTAGGGTTTACCTTTCGTAAAATAACAGTCATGAACTTGACCAATCTACAAATACATAGATCCTCTCGTTGTTTTCAAAGGAGAAAAACTTTACTTCATATTGAGTCAGTGTTGCTTCGAATGCATCTGTGTATGTTGTGTCATTTGTTAGAAAGATTTTGGAGACTTTTTCTGATTGAGTATCATTGTATTTGACAGTTCATATGATTCGAAACTGGAAAGTTATCCATTTCAGAATGCCTTGGAAGTTGAACATTTAAATCGTAGCCACATTTCAACTCCAAAGAGAACCAAACTGAAAGACCGAAGCTTTGTCTTCTAAATTCATAAATATTTGACTGAATGAAGGAAACGATTTGTATCGTGTTCTTATATGTCGAAGTTGTGTAATTGCATACATCAATCATTTGTTTTTCTTTTACTCATATCAAATCAGTAGCAATAGAACCGAGAAACTCATATGAATAATTCAATGGAGTCGTAACGTAGTTGTTTTCATTGTTTAAAAAAGAAAACTAACGACAATCATCCTGACAGTATGCTCTTTCAACTACTTCATACAAAATGCTTCTATGTAAACAATGTGACGCGCAAAGTGCGATGAATTATAACCTATACATTAAATTTTTGGAGCCATGAATATCTGAAAGAGAAAGGAATTTTACTGAGTTTTCTTTTTGAACGTTATGAGACGATCGGATAGTATACCTTTTCCATTCGGACAGTATCTTGCATTCTGCGTAATTACGAAAGAAGTGAGATTGGAATAAGTTTTATCGATTGAACAAACGATAGAATAATATATGAATGCTATTAGGATATTTTTATTTGTATCAATGGAAAAGAAAGAAATCCGGACAGAGAAAATATGACAAATCCAACTTTTCATAAAAGTGAAACCATACGTATGCATAACTCTATACAAATGACTTTGTTGCCTGATCGACAGTTTTAATGTACAAATATTAGCTGTGTTTCATTTATCACTACGTATGAGCAAAATACTTGCCAATGTCAAATGACTTGTTCAAATACGCACTTTTATGAAGCAGGTAGTTTTCATATACTTTGTATCGACACCAAGATGTAACATATTTGCATATCTACCAAATTTGAGTGGCAATATGGTGTTAGCTGATGTGGATACTTATTCGATGAAAGCCTATAGGGGATCACAGTTACCGAAAAGGTGAGGGTGAGGAAAATAATTAAATTAGTACATTATGGGGAAGGATTCTTTCACAGGTCCGAAGAATTGTCAGGTATTGGTTCATTCTATTTAAGTCCTCCTTCCACCATTATGAAGGTTGTCAACGTCTTCTTCATAAAACGCGATACTCAAATCAATAAATATCTCGACAAGAGCTAATGACATTTTTACGATAATATGATTATGTCAAATATACGCGTAGTTTTATTGGGAATATATTTACTGAGTCATTCATTTGTAAACAAAAGCCATCCCGCTCTTCTTTTCGTTCTGATATTCCTATATCTCTTTATACAAAAGAACTATCAAAGCTAACTTCTTTACCGAGACCCATTCTCAACTTCAGACGCTCACTCATCAATCTCATTTTCACTCTCACGCGATTTCACACCTTCGCATACAGACTTCCTTCATCAATTAAACGGATCTACCAATATACATGCACAATAGTTATTCAATTACCATGATAAAATACAAATGTTCAATCAAAAGAATAAAGATGTAAAGAAAAAATTGTTACATCGTTACCATCAGATATTATTTCGTCATTCTTCTGCAGAAAAAACCTTTTTTCTACAGCTAAGATGATGCAATACATTGTTGACAATTCCATTCCAATTATATAGGAGAAAACTTCCAAGTATTATCATTATCGGAATCATTCTCATCCAAATCGAATCTATGGGTTTTGAAAAAACCCAGTATGAATCATGCATAAATGTGAAGAATATTCCCGGTGTTGTCATCCATATTAAAAATATCACACTCATGTTATGATGTAACTTCCAATCAAATGTCGAATATCGTTGCTTGATTTGCTTTATGTGAATCAATACATATATGATATCAATGAAGAGTTCTGGTATAGTTATAAGAATTAATAACTCAAAGCTAACTTCTTTAGTTTGTTGATTTCCTCCATTATCATTAAGATTCAATATCATTGTTAGAAGAAACTTTAATGAATATAAACCTTGATTGATTCCCCATAAATGAAAACCAATCATTAAATACGGAAACCAATGCTTCTTAATGTATCTCTTCAAAATGAAAGCATTGAAACAAATTCCGATTACATTATATCCTTGAGTTGAAATAGTGATTGTATTTAGCTCACTAGAAGTGATATGACGAAGGTCTTCGGATTTTCTTAGATATATAAGAGCGAAACCAGAAATAATGGCTGTTGATAATATAAAAGCAGTAATGCGACCAAATAATATATGTTTCGTATTTGATTTGATTGTGAAGTATTGTAAAATACACAGTACACAAAATAGCACGCTGGATAAGCCATGTATACAAAACACAATGTAATGTGTAAAGTTTTCCAGCTCATGGCGTCCTAAAGCAGATTTCCATTCGATGACCCGCATATCAAGAACAATTCTCACTAGTAAGATGTTTTTTCTTCTAAAGTAAAGTCAAATACTTCATATTCGTTACTATTGGGAAAAATATTATCGCATCTATATAGCGTACTAATATCGTGAGTAGCTGCCTAATTCGACTTATAATATAAGTGACCAATTCCTAGCACCCTTAGGAATAGAAATAGATTTAGTTTCAGGTATACATACATACTCTCACACCCTGAATCGAGATATATTCGTGTCCACACCCACCGCAGCACCCTCAAGTGAGGGCGTGGGTGTGTATATGTATAACTGGATCTAAATCTATTTCTATTTCTAAACTCACAGGGGTGTGGGAGAATGTATGTATAAGTAAAACTAAATCCATTTCTATTCCTATCTACTCATTTGTTGTAAGTGTAATATAGGTATCTATTTATATTCGAATTGATACTAGTCTGTCGGGGGTCGACCTATAATATAAGTCGAATTAGGCATCTCATGTGAATATCTATGGAAAAAGCTTTGTGTCACGAAAAGTTCGACTTACCTTTCAGAATCAAATGTCAAGAGCGCAAAGTTCTCTGATAAATATTATAACATGAAAAAGGTGCTTTGTTTTGCAAATATTAACAACGCGTGATGTTTATTCAAATAGAAGATGTTATCATTTCATCAAATAAAAAAGCATTGCAGATCGTGTGTTGTGCAGCGAGGTCGAACTCACCTTCACTCAATTCTGTCGAACAAGATGATTTTACTGTTTCGATTCTGATATGTTGCACTCAATTGCACAATTCTCTAATGAAAATTTATAATTGAGGCCGCTAAATTCCCCTCATGTCGTCAATGTTTCCTATATAGCAGAGTGAAAGCATGCTATTCTTTTTTTCTAATCATTCTGTTCATTTGTATTGTGAGACTATGATGAAAAATGTCCTAACAATTTCGTTTTATTTGTTTTTTATATTGAAAGATGTCCATCATCGAACAAGACGAATTACGTGCGCAGTTTCCGTTTCTTTGTAAGTATCCTGATTGGGTTTTTTTGGAAAATGCAGGTGGCAGTCAAGTACCATCATCAGTTATCGATTCAGTTTCTAAATATTACTCCGAATCATATGTTCAAATTGGAGCTGGTTATTACCAATCGAACGAATCAACAAATATACGAACAAGTGCTCATGATTTTTGTCGTGAAATGGTGAATGGCAGTGGAATTGGTGAAGTTGTTCTTGGTTCAAGTACCACTCAACTAATTCATACGTTGGCGCATGCCTTTGATAAACTTATTACCAATGCAGACGATGAAATTATTTTGACGAATCTTGCTCACGAAGCTAACTATGGTGTTTGGACAAAATTACGTGGCAAAGTCGTTGAATGGAAAGTACACGAAGCAGTGAATCTTGATGATTTATCAGTTTTATTATCAGAGCACACACGGATTGTAGCTATAACACATGTTAGTAACGTCGCTGGTGAAATTCTTGATGTTAAAGCTATTGCAACACTTGTTCATGCCCGATGCCCTCAAGCACGAGTTGTTGTTGACGGTGTAGCTTATGCACCTCATCAAGTTATCGATGTATGTGAATGGAATGTTGACTTTTATGTATTTAGTTTGTATAAGGTGAGAAACGCACTAACCTGATCTGTACGATCAGGAATATTTCAGGCTAGCAGTAAAGCTTTTGCTAGAAATGATAGATACCATGTTTTGTTTGATAGGTTTATGGTCCTCATCTGGCTGCCTTATATGGATCAAATGCTGCTTGGCAAGAATTGATTCAAGCTTCTGCCGGACCTAATCATTTTTTTGTTTCACAATCGGATATTTCGTATCAATATGAGATCGGATGTCTAGATTACGAAGCATGTGCAGGCATTTTAGGTATCAAATCTTATTTTGAACGAGTCACTAATGCTCCGAACGATCAATCAGTACGAAAAACCATTGAACAAGCATATAAGATATTTGCTGACTTCGAACGTCCACTTACTGATCGGCTCATTCAGTATCTCTTGACAAAACGTGATATAACCATTATTGGCCCTCAATCAAATATGCATCGTTTACCAACTATCAGTTTCGTTTCCTCACGTTTATCTTCAAGTGACATCGTTAAACATCTTCATGCACATAAAATTGCTTGTCGCAATGGACATATGTATTCTTACCGATTAATTACGGCTCTAGGGATTGATATTAGTGATGGCGTAGTTCGTCTTTCTGCGGTTCATTATAACACTATAGCGGAAATTGATCGATGTATACAAGTGCTTGATACTATTTTGTAACATCCCAAAAAGAATATGGAGACTATAGTATATAAAAAATAACAGTGATCTAATTGATTGACGTACTTTCATTATTGATTATTTTATAAAAGAGAAAAAATTAATAGAATTAATCCGGATGATTTTCCTCAACATAATCATATCATCTTGTTTTTTTTTCTTTTATTGCGTATAGTATTGTAACACTCGGAAGTGCTTACATGATATAAATGGATAAGAAGGCATAATCACTTAAGCATGAAGCTACACTATGAAAGACGAGAATTCTCGACTCACCACCTGGTCATGAAACTGTGATCTAACTGCCCATGTGCGGGTTAATAAGAAAAAAATAATAAAGTGAATAATATGGAGAAAAATAGGAGGAAAGAAAGAGCCAAAAGGGTTTAGTAGATAAAAGAAAAGAGAGAGCAATATACTTGTAAGCTACATCGAATGCGTGTGAAATAACAGCCGTTGATAAATACGCGATAAGAAGCATGCATATACCGCACGAAAGGGGGAATAGAGAGGAGAAAACGAATAAAAATACCAAAAAGAAAATAATGAAGATGAGCGACGTGGAACTAACATCTGAAGTGTGTAATTGAAGGTTTCTATATCCCCAGGTCAATGAATCCTAGAGTCGGATCCCATCGGATCCTGTCGGAACCGATCGGAAGCTGTCGGACTTTATCGGATCCTACGAATTCCTGCAGGATTTTATCGGGTACCGGGGAACGGAATCGCATTGGGTTCCGACGGCTTTTCGGATCCAATGATTTGATACGTTATAGCGTTTTCCGGGAAACTCATTTTTGACCTAGTAAATACTGAAGGTATCACACACCCCACCTATCTTAATCGTCATAGACTATTTCCCAATTTCCAAGGTCCGGAAATTGAGGGTGACTTTGATTATGGATGTCCATAATGGCCATAATGGAGATTTGGTGAGGACTTTTCAGATGATGAGAGCTGTATGGTAAGGCATTGAATATAAGCTTATTTAATGTTCCATCACCATGACCTAAAAAAACTTCATGCTTATTATAATAATAATTTATAGGTATAATATTAAGACTGGTACCGTTAATAACGTAAGCAGCATTGGGAAAATATGGAGATGATGAACCGGTTGAATATGTTTTCTGATTAATAATCGAACCGTTTCTCTCGGTCAAAAATGTTTATTTGTTATTGGAGCGAAAATCAGCGGTAACACTATCCAATTGATAATCATTATCTTAGTCACCAGTGGCAATTGAATATGGAGATGAGGATAGACCAGTTGAGTATCTTTTTGGACGTGTAAATGGAAAGTTTCCATAAACAAGAGAAACACCAATGTTATTTGTGCCTGCATTAGCGACAATGATATGTATACGTGTATCATTATTAAAATAATAATGGCGAATGATTGCGATCGAGCCATAGCGCCGACAAACATTTTCGGTTTTCGTCGAAAGACAATATTTGGACAACCAAACATGATGTTTAATGCAATAGCGTCAGAACTAAGTACAACAATATCAAGTATGGTGGCATTATGGAAATCATAGACGACCACAATATGGGGACCAGATCCGACGGATTACGTTTGTTGAGGTGCGAAATGTCCATTCCCATGGCCTAACAGTACACTAACAGCACTAGAACCAATATCAGCAGTAATTACATATGAGTAATTATCGTTATTAAAGTCGGCAATGGCGACAGATACATCAAAAATATGTGCGACAGATTTTTTGGGTCTTGATAGGATCCATTTCCATACCCGAGAGGAACACTTACAATACGGTAACTTGATGTAGTTGCATCAATTTCTAATCGAGTGTCATTATTGAGATCTCCAACAGCTAAATACAATGGTTTTTTCTGTCAACTTACAAGGTCATTTCTTCACGAAATGTACCATTATCCTATCTGAAAAAAAAAGCCGATATTATCGGAATCATAATTAGCAACAGCGATATCTAGGGTGAGGATCATTATAAAAATCGTGTATAACCGTATGCCGTGTATCAGAATCACCCGTAGAATGAATCTTCATTGTAAACGATCCATTGTCATAGTCTCGTGACAGGCTAAATGTAAGGTTTACCGGAACAAAAACTATGTCGAGATGTTGATCATTAGCGAAGTCACCCACCGCAACAGACCATGTCGGGAGAGAATCAATTGAATATATTATTGAACTGCTGAAGGTGCCGTTGTCAAAACCAAGTAACACAGAGATACTATCGGAACTCTCATTAGCAATAACTACATCTAATCGTTTATCATTATTAAAATCATCAACAGTTACAAATATTGGATTGAGACCAACTGAATATGTTGAGTGATATATACAACTACCATTACTTCGTCCAAAGAAGATACTTAAACTGTCTGAATCATAATTGACAACAAGAATATCAATGGAACTTTCGTTATTGACGTAGTCGAGAGCTAAATGTCGCCGACGTACACCAGTCGAATATCTCATTTGGTTTTTAAAAGATGCTGCATTGTATACATTAGATATGTCAATATAATTAGTATCATTATTGAAATCGGTAGCGGTAGTAGAGAAAGGAGAAAACATGTTACTTTCTGGATAGTTTGCTTGTTGAGTAAAAGACCCTCGACCATCTTCAAGTAACAGTCCCATTTGTTTAGTACCAGATCGAGCAGCAGCAGTATCCAGTTGATTATCATCGTTAAAATAACCTATAACAATCGATGTTGGACGAGAATTCGCCTTGACATCGAAGAATATTTGATCTAGAAAAGACAGTTTTTTTCCTTTCTGAAAAGAATACCGATATTAATAGTTCCATAATTAACAACCAAAATGTCTGAGTAATTCTATTATTATTGACATGATGAATCATCATAGATCGTAATTATGAACCGCCACCAGCTGCAAATGTCATGTAATCTCTCAAAGCACCTGTATTATTTTGAATTACTATACCTATGTAAAGACCATTTATATTAGCTGCAATCATATCCAATCGCGTATCATTGTTCAAATCCGCGACTGCAACAGAGGGTGAATATGAACCCGTGAGATAGAAAACAGAATCGCTGAACGAACCATCGTCTTGTTCAAATAAAATATATACAAATGGTCCATCAACACCAGCAACGATAATATCTAATCGTGTATCGTTATCAACATCACCGATGGCGACAGATACTGGGCCAGCACCCGTTCCATACGTAACTTGTGGTATAAAAGATCCATTACCCTCTCCTAATAAAACACTTATTGTTTGACTGCCACGATTTGAAACAACGACATTCATATATGTGTCATTATTCAAATCAGCAACTGCTAAAATAAATGGCTCTGTATCAGTTGCATATCTCTTTTCATTTGCAAAACTTCCATTACCAAAACCCAAAAGAATACTAATATTCTTGTTCTTCCAATTGGCAACAGTAAGATCGAGTTGATTATCATTATTCAAATCATCAACAGCGAGAAATTATGGAGCAGAACCATTTGAAAGTATCCATAGATTTCGAAGGGTTCCATTACCATTACCAAGAAATATATAAATATCATTACTGTCACGATTGCTCACAATTACATCGATATTTGTATCATTGTCCAAATCAGCAATAGCTAATGAAGTTGGAGATAAACCAGTAATATACCATGTGACATTAGCAAATGATCCATCACCACTTCCGAAACAAATCATTATGGTATTATTTGACTGACTAAGAATTATTACATCTAATATGTCATCATTATTCATATCACTAATAACTACAAACGATGTTGTATAAGTAATATTAAATAGTTGAGGGTAAGCAAAACCTTGAAAATATTCTGCGAGAATATTGACACTTCCAGTGTCATTATTAATAATGAATGCATCTAGTCGATTATCATTGTTAAAGTCACATAAAGCAAGTGATATTCTAGAATTTGATCCTGTTGAAATTGTATATGCAAATTCAAAATTTCCATCTCCATGACCATGACCGAAACAAAAACATAATTAAATTCTCCTATATTACCGGTAAACAAATCCAACCGGTTATCTCCATTAAAATCACTGATTCGAATTGAATAAGGAGAAGTCGAATTTACTGAGTAAAATCTTTGAGTTGTAAAGGTTCGTTTTTCATAATTAAGAAGAGTTCCAATTTCATCTGTACCAAAATTTGTAAATGCAATATCAAGTAATTTATCTGAATTGAAATGAGCTAAAACAACTGACGTTGGACAAGAATCAACATCAGTTGAAGTAGTCATTTGACTTTTGATTGTATTGTTTTCATCAAAGAATAGAAAATGAAGATTCTTTGTTCCATAATTAGTAATAGCAATATCCAAATGTTGATCGTTATTTAAATCACCGACTGCTAAAGAATAAGGATATGAATCATAATCAGTTGAATAAGAAAATAATTTCGTAAATGTAGTACTTGGATTTCCGTAGAATATCGAAATGGAATTTGTTTCATAATCGATTACAATTATATCAATAAATGTGTCTCGATTAAAGTCAGTTGAATCAACAAATATCGGTCGTGAAATTCCTATAGAAAATTGCACTTCATTTTGAAAAGATCCATTACCAAATTCATAGAAAATTCCAATAGAATGAGTACGATAATTTGCAATGACAATATCCAAATTTTTATCATTATCAAGATCATTGACAGCGACCATGATTGGGTTTGAATTAATACCAGTTGAATATTCTTTTTCCTTTAAGATTGCCATATTTGAATTTGTCAAATAAATCACAATGAGATTGACAATTCAATTTGCAACAATCATATCGATCGACGTATCGTTATTCTAATCACCAACAACAACAGCTGTTGGACCATCATTATATTCAAGCGGATCTTTGGATATTCGAGCAAAATTCAATTCACATTTTTGTACTAAAGAAAATTTTCATTTGGATTTTCATTTCGAAAGGAAAATACCTTTTGGTTTGAAAGCAGTGATACAAACGATGGCGATTCCCGTGATGATCAAAAGACATGTTATTATACAAATGATAAACCATTTACAATTTGATTGGCTATGAAATAAAACAGACGTTTACGAAAACAACCAAATCGGATTATGGATGAAAATTATAAGAATAAACAAACATTTAAATCTCCACTTCTTCGGTTTTTGTGTTTAAATCCATTTTTATCTGAATATGAAAGAAAATCAAATCAGATTATTTTTCTTGTTTATTATTTCTTCTTCTATTCGACATAGACGAAAGCAAGGTCAATAAATTGCTTTTGTCGAAGGTAATCATCGACGTCTGCTTGTTTAAGAGTGCCCGACGATTTATTATTTCGATAAATAAAGAAAAAATGAGTGTGTTACAGGCGTGTACATACACATGCCTTCATATCCTCCTCTCCATCTGTTTCTGTTATCTTCGATACACATTCTCTTTCACATCGTTTCGAATAAACAGATTGAGATTCGTCGCTCGAGCGAAGACAACGCTAATAGAGTGCAGACACGCTTATACTTCCTCGATTTTATGTTGATTTAATTTATTTTGCATTTTCGTCTAACTGAATGGATAATAATCAAAGAAACATTTGTTATTTATTATTTCTAATTTTCCTATTAGTCATGACGTTCTCATTTCCCATATATATTGGATATTTTAAACGAAAGGAGAAAGTTTATTCGAATATTCATCGAGTACTTATCTTTCTCATGAATCCATATGATGTGTTATAGCGTTTACCGAGAAATTCTATATGTTTTAGGTACCATAACTGATTGTCCGGAAATTGAATTTGTTAATCAGACAAACTGAACAGTCCGAACAGTTGTAATTCTCATCTAGGACATATAGAATGTATTATCGGTTAAAACATATGATTATATCTACTACACCGATTTCATATTGGGTCGTTTCTCAGCTTTACTTGACAGAAAGGAAGGATATTGAAAAATTTCCGCAGTTTAGTAGAATATCATATATTTTCCTTTCTTATTGGATACGAATTGATCAGCACGAGACGTTGTCATTCTCAAGGAANTTTTTAATTAATCTTGCAATTTAAATAAATACAGAAGAAAATATTATATCAAAGTACATCGGAATCTACGGAACTAAGGACATAATAAGGATAATCCGTTAGATGAGAGAACCCGTATCATGCGTACAACGCATGTCAGAGAGATTATCACGACCGCATGAAAAGTAGAAAAACTTTCAGAATATCTTATTATTCAGCAGATATCCTAAAGTGTTGGTGTTAGGTGGCTCTCTTCGAGAGTGACTTCGGTTTAATCTTCCTGCCCTTTCAATTCATACATGCGTGTGTATACAGAGAGAGAGAAGAACAGAGAATTCATCCGCTAACATATCCTCCTCTATTATGAAAAGACATGTGTCCGCACATCAGCAGATGATAAATCACGAGAAAAAAAACATCCAAAGTCAATATTGACACCTGGGATCGTTGCGGATGTTGAGATTCGCTGTGATCATGTGTGGTGCGTGTTTGTTAGCGATTGAGTTGGTAGTGTGGTCGTTCTTCGGCTGGATAATTTCGCTGTATCGTATTTGCCGATTAGTTTCTCGGACCGGACGAGATTTGATGCGTTATAGCGTTTTCCGGGAAATTCTATATTTTAGGTACCATAACTGATTGTCCGGAAATTGAATTTGTTAATCAGACAAAGTGAACAGTTCGAACAGTTGTAATTCTCATATGGGACATGTAGAATGTATTACCGGTAAAAACATATGATTCTGTCTACTACACTGATTTCATATTGAGTCGTTTCTCAGCATTACTCGACAGAACGGAAGGATATTGAAAAATTTCCGCAGTTTAGTAGAATATCATATATTTTCCTTTCTTATTGGATACGAATTGATCAGCACGAGACGTTGTCATTCTCAAGGAATTCCAGATTGCGATGAATCCGTCAATGGAATAACAATAGTTCTGGTCAAATATCTTAAACAAATTCTTCAACAACTAATACATTTATGAATGTATATTAAACATATTATTCATGAATAGTTATCAAAAAGAGCCATTCATCAAAAGAAATTTTTTTGTTATTGTGAAAAATGAAGATGATTCATGTCAAATACTGTTAAAACGAGTCCATTATGAACTACAGAAGATGATGACTTTCGAGATCGATTTGGATAGGTTGATATATCAACAAACTATGACATTTATTATAAATCAAAGATTATTTGCTTATGTGAGTTATCGATTAGGATAAGAAAACTATTTGAATAAACGCATCTGTTGATTTGTCTTTATCTATACATTTGTATAGGAAATCAACTAAAGAAATGCTGTTTTGTTTTTATTTTCTTTTAATTTTGCTTTTAAAAAGAAAAAAAACATTACTGCAGAAAATGAATAAATCAATGGGTGAGTATTGAGAATAGAATATGGAAATTAAGCATTATAAAGCGCGATATCTTTGGCATTATTATTTTGTTAAACTAGCTGGTACGGATCCTGAAAAAGACATATGAAGAGAACTTTTTCTTTAACGATGAGAAGACAAGCTCAAATCTTTAACACGTCGCCATATGATTTTTATCGTCGATACTGTTTCAATTTGTACATTTCCTATATTTCAATTATTCGTATACGTATTCTTACGACATCTATTAAGATCATAACCTCCATTTGTTTGGCACCAATATGAAATTTTTTACTTTCAACATACGATATGTTGCATTGTTCAAATTGGTTCCTTGGGAATAATATGTTCAAAACTTTTATCGTCAAGATATACTTTGATTTTACTAGCAAATTTATACAAAATACTTCCTAGATAATAATTATTTGTTGAAAATTATGTCAAAAAAAAATGAAACAAATTGAAAAAATGATCGAACAATCTCTGATAAATCTCACAAGGTCCACCATCGACATATCCTTGTTCAAAAGCATTATGCAACTTCATCAGGTTCGTGAATAGTTTTATTGTGCAGTTAGATAATTTATCCAGTATGACTGAATTAAATAGAATTTAAAAGAAATTTCTTTCTTTTAAGATGATGATGATTATCGATCTTCGTTCAATAATAATATGAAATCAAAAGAATCTATCGAAATACCTGAAATTGACATCTTGGATGAAGTAGATGTGAATACTAATACGTTGCAAGTTGATGAATATTCTAACGAGCCTTCATGTGAACATGATTGTAAATATTAATATCATAGATTTGTCAAATATCCGATGAATATGCATTTATTTTACATTTAAGGTGTTGAACCCGGTACTACACGATCATCAATAACTATATATGATAATAAATGTGATAAATCTACATCAATGGTATCATCGGAATCGTCTTCTTCAGCAGATGAAGATCAAGAATCGTCCATTTCTAATCTATCACTATCATCAAATAAAAATTTTTCCTGATCAAATGTATAGTTTTAAATTCAAAGAAACAAAGAATTCGAAGTTAATGTCATTGTGTTGCGATCTCTAGAGTAAAAAGATTGTATTGTTGAATAGAAATGATTCTTAAAGGATGAAAAAGGAAAAATAATGTTCCTTAATAGGCAATTTTGATGACTTTTCGACTTATGTCAGTATCTAACAAAGAGTTTCAAAATCAAGACTCGTATTGAGATGTTTGTGTCACGGAGAAAAACAAAATATTTCATTTTTGGACATCGTGTAATGTGCACGATCCGTACTACTCATTGTAGATGGATAGATAATGTTGATATGGGATGATTTTGGAAAGATCAATGATCTTCTCGATAGAGATAATTTATTGACGTTTTTGAATTTTCTTATTTAACTGAAATGAAGAAAATGTTATTTACTCAATTTGCAGAGCGTCGAACCTCGTCAACATTGTCAAACAGTCAACTGATGAAAGAAAATCTTTATCTGAAGAAAAATTAACGTTTTACGAACAAAATTATGTGCCAAGGTAAAAAAGTTTTTCGATGAATATATAAGATTTGATGCGTTATAGCGTTTTCCGGGAAATCCATTTTTGACACAAACATGGAATAAGGAAATTGCAATTCGTGATAATACAGAGTAAAGATACTACGGACTTTTATGAGATCAGGCATATAGGGCATAAGCGGGACGAGGTTATAGATAGAGCTATGACAATACTAATACCTCCAGTATCAATACTATTGGTATTCGGTGGCATGGATGTTGATATTAGTATTAGTTTGGCTTTGGTTTTATAGGACAATACTCTTGCACTTCGCATTCCTATTAGGTGAGAACCGCCTCAGATGTTGAAGTTCTGTTTTCTACAGGTGTGTATGTAGTATATTGGTCCTGGTTATTTTCATTGGCGTTGATACTTGTGTGTGTAGAACGAGAGATAAGCGTAGAGCCTTGAACTGTAACATGAAAATGTTTTTCTTTCGATAAGACAGTAACGGATACGAAGTCATTGTTACGAAAAAAGTTTGATCAAACGCTCCATTTCAAGGAGTGTATATCCGTTGTCGGTTATTTCATAGAGTAACTTTGGATATGACCTTAAAGACATTACCCTTATCCTCGTTCTGCACATACTAGTATCAATAGAAGTAATTACAACTATGGTCGGTATTTCACATACATACAATAAAACTTCACGATCTAATGAGATCTTTATATAATAGATAATGCGAAATGCAAGAGTATTTTCGTACAAAATAAAAGCCAAGACCAATACGAATATCAATACCAATACTCCAATACAGTATTGGTATCATTATATCCCTAGATGTGGCTGAGACTGCGAATATACCAAAATGGTAAAGAAAATAAGTGTAACTATTTCCTCATGCTTAAGAAGTTTTGTCGAGCAACGCCTATATTTTCTCTAGGTATGTAATGTTAATGAGAAGTGATTTCTCGAAAAGATCTTAGTCTTCGTTATTGCCGAGACATTTCTGGATTCTATACGACTATTTTACTATGAAAATGAGTTCGAGGAAATTATATCACATGAAAATTCTTTTTACCTTTTACAGCTAAAGATTATGAGTTTTTCGTGATGAGAAATACTGCAAGATATACCACACTGAAAAAAAATAAGGTGTTTTACCAAACCCGTCGAGAAAGTTTCGTAGATCCTGAAAGCTTCCAAATGTGTCGACATGTTGAAAAAAATGGTTTTCAAAAATCTACGAAACCAAAAAGGATCGGTCGACGGGCACACGCTCCGAACCCCACACCCGAAACCTTTTTAAGTTTCGCACGGTCCCAATAAAGGTTCGCCGCAAAATACGGAGCCTTAAGGTTTCGCACTAAGGTTTTCCACGAATCCATTAAGGTTTCGTATTTTGTGGCGAAACTTAAAAAGGTTCCGTAATGAGGGTTCGTAGTGTGTGCCCGCCGACCGATCCTTTTTTGGTTTTGTAGATTTTTGAAAACCTTTTTTTTCAACATGTCGACACATTTGGAAGCTTTCAGCATCTACGAAACTTTTTTTATGGGTTTGGTAGAATACCTTATTTTTTTTCAGTGCAGTAAAATCGTTACGTTTATTCATATGTTGATTATTACATCGAGATTTGAAAGAGCTACTGTTGTTCGTTGGACTCACCAACAAAACAGAATATTGTGTAGACGTCTGACTTACAAGTATATTCGCTGCCATTTGTTGATGGATTCTGATATTGCGTAGAGCTCGTTGACATGACTATTTAATTTATAAATAGAAATTTAGAAAATTTCTTGTGTTTATTTAGGTAGAAAAATAAGCATTTTCTCTTGTTATAAACGAGCAACAGCAAATACATTGCCTATAACATTGTTTAATATATGTTTTTTTGTTTGTTTTTCTTTTGGATGAAGCAGCTTAGCCAATTCTAAAAAATAAAAGCTCTGTTTTTATCTTTACGTCGAAAAAATCTTGTTATATTTATAAGCATCTAACATTGACATCAGTTTTACTATGTATATCTCAATAGTCTGAGTAACGGTTTTTCATCATAAAGTGAGAATGAGTGAAAGGTGTATATCACTAGGTACGAAGTAGATTTAGCGAAAACCGTGCATAAATATGAGCATTTCATATGAAGAAAAAAACGAAAAAATCTGATATTTATTGAATTTTATGATAAAAAAATCGATTGAAATGGTTCAATTTTCATCAGATTTTTTATTTGAAAAAAATAATCCAGTAAAAAGGATTTTTCAACAAAAATCTATTTCAAATAACATTTTTGTCTGCGCAAGTAAGTATCAAACTGTCATACTTTTAACGCTATTCCAACAGCATCGCAAGTTGCTCTACTTTTACCTCACTATTTGTTTCTACACGAATTCCGAAAAAAGTTCGGGTGAGAATTGCATCCCGGAGAAAAATACATTTTCTCTTTACTTCGATTCTAATGAAAATTTCTATAGGAGTTTTTTCACTTTTTTGAAAACGATCAAATCTATGTAAGCTGCTCATAGATGCTGGTAAATATAGATTTGAATTTTGCGAAAAAATATACTAACCACGTACAGCTTTAAGTTTTTCCTGCGGCATCGATTTAACACGTTGTGCTTTACGTGAATCATCACCTGGATAAATTAACCCAGGTCGATCATTTCGGCGACTGGATCCGTTGAAATCTGAGACAGTTCCGGTACAGCTCTTCTCGATTCCGGCACAGTTTTCGCCGATTCCAGCAAGTTCCGGCAGGTTCCTTGCCGCCGGATTCCGGCCGGAACCGACCGTCCCATAATAACCTGGGTTATCTTCATGATTGATATTGATCTACATGTCACTGCAATCCTATCTTCTTTACATTGAAGAAGTTGATGGTATGATAATCCTAATGTTCTGCTGAACTTCGAAGTCTTCTTTTTCCTCGTCTTCTTCCCCTTCTTCTTGGTGCTGCTGCTGTTGTTGTTCTTCATCATCTATTTCTTCTTCTTCTCCTAAAAAATTACGACGAAAAAATATATTTGATCGAATTCTGAGTCGAATGGTGTAGTTTTCATGGACGGGGCATACTTAGTAAAAACGTTTTCAGCTAATATATCGTTTGTTCGTTCATGCTAGCTCCGTTGTGGTAGCTTCACACCGATATCTTAAACTCAAGAGAACCATTTCACAGAAGCGTAGATTGCTACTTTAGTTCGTAAAAGAGCACGAGAGGACTAGGGTTAATACGTGTGAATAACTTGTGCAGAAATATTTCAATTGATGAATAATTTCAGGACAGAAATTTGGTAGCCATGGACAGATTATGAGACGACGTACGCATTCTTCATTTTTTCACCGCATTTCTCAAACGACAGAGCATCTAATTGCTTCAATACAGATCATTTTGATAGGATTGCACGTAATGATGTATTTATTATTCTAATCAATGAAAATGATCGAAGATTGCTGAATGGTTCAATTTGAAAATAATATAAAAACAACTTTAATTGATCAGGTTATCATTTTGATCAGAAAGAACTAATGAAATGATTTATTCAGATCGAATCCATTCATAAAATAAAATCAAAATCACATTTTCGAATAGATTGAAAACTGATTCGACATAACAAATAAGATTCTTTATAGAACCAATTCGACAATCCAAATTTGCCATTGAATAGAAGATTTCATTTCTTCAAAGATGACTAAATATCAAAGAGAACAATTTAGTCGGTAATTCATCAAATAATCTGAACCGCTGTTGTACAGACGAACATGTTGAAAGGTAAAAATAAGATTTGAAATGTAGGTAATTCTCATTGTTTTATCTAATCTTTTTCTTATCAACAGCTATATTTTCTAACAGAATCATATAAGAAATGACCAGAGAAGATTTATGATTATGAATTTAAAAGAATTTGTTATAGAAGAATAAGAATTCTACACATAATGCTCTTAAAGAGATGACTTGTCATAAACAATGAACAAAACCAAGTCCTATTGATTACGAATCGTCATCCGAATCGAAATCAACACAATCATAGTCATGGTGACGACATAATCCACAATTCGGATTACAATTACCATTTTTATGTTCGAATCTTCTTCGTTTGAAACAACGTCAACTGATAGATTATCGAACTGAGTTGATAAGTTTCCTAAATCTTCGTTCCATTGTCGAAGATATGTTTCATAAAAATCAATTTCTTTTCGATATTGTCGTAATTTCCGACTGTGATCTTATTCATATCAACTTCTATTTGTTTGATATGATCATTTGTATATTTGACTACAGCTCGTTTAATTGTTTTGATTGATTCATTTTCCCAATCATTAACTTCTTTGATTACAACATGATTTTTTTGCTGAAAACACTATAATTTGTCTCAACGATTTCTAATTGTTTACTTAATTCTTTTCGATGATCTATTGAATGATTAAAACAGAATTCTTTTAAACATCCATCACATCTTAACGTCGCTTTGTCTTTATTACATGTGACACAACGATTTCGACCAGGTGCTGTTGTCATCTCGAAGTTTGATTTATGAACAAATAACATTAATGAGAAACTGATAAATGTTGGATTAGTCTTCTGATTGGTTCATAGAATTTATTTTATTTTGTCCACCAAAAAAATGTTTTCCTATACATAGTGACAGTGAAAAACGATTCATACACGTTTCTGTTACAAGATATGTTCTTTTGATGTAAATTATCATCGGCTATTCGATTACATAGTACAAAATAGGCTTAAAGTATGAAATTTAAAGCATGAAGGAAAGATTTTTCGCAAGAAAATGTCCTAAAATTCACATCTCTCCGAAGAATTAAGTGAAAATATAAAAAATTTTTATTTTAAAGCCACTGGAAAATCAATATAATAAGGGTTATTGTAAAAAATATAATAGTTGATTTGATATTAACAAGAATTTTATGTGTCACAATACAAGAAATGATACAAGTAACTATGATACGAAAAAGCAGCCACAAAACTTTGGCGGGCAACGAAGAAAATACCAATTTGTTAAAAAAAAGATTCGTATACATAGTCGCAACACCCATAAAACACATAACCGTTCGACTTTTCCTACTAATTCCAAATAAGTTTTTGATTTTATACCAAAAATACTTAAATCGAGATCGTTTTTCATTATTGAACAAAATTTCATTCAGCGACTATGAGAAAACAAAACTAAGGAATCGAAATCAATATGATTCAAATCATCTTACTCGTTCACGAAGCCAAAAATGAAGAAGATCAGGTTTACGATCATTTTCTGATGTCAAATCAATTCGACACGTTGCCGAACAATGAAGATATTTTTCGATATCATTAAGAATCAATTGTGAATCAAATTCCGAAGATCTTTTTATCTTGTCGATTGATTGATGAATAACAAATGATATACTTAATAATTGTTTGAATAACCCAATAATATAAATAATATCTGATCTTGATTTAACAGGCCATGTACTTATATGTTCAACTAATGGAAATGAATAACTTATCATTTGAAGATCGTAAATACTTTTTTTTGAATCTTTTGCTCTACGAAATTGTAATGTATGGATTTGTTTCAATTGTAAACCTGATAAAGAACTTTGTTCTGGTATATCTGTATCAACTTGATTCCTCCAAAACGTAATGTATGAAGTTTCGGCATATGAGATGGAATACTTTTGAATAACAAAAAAACAATAGGAATAATCGTTAGATATTGAATTTGATTTAAATCAATAATAGATGATAATAGTTGAACTGAGCCAAGCTAAATAGGTTGAAGATTTTGTATCGTTGTGAAACGAAATTGAGTATTGGAAGGTCGTCGATGAAATATTAAATATTTAGGATGATAGAGAATCGCCTTATTTGGTATTGTCGAATACAAAGACTTCATACAAGTTAAAGCGATGTATGGTAAACCAAAATCAGAAAGAGAAACAGTGAACAAATAGTTATGCTGACAAACGACAAACCAATGTTTCTCTTCAATCCAAAATCGTGTACGAAAAGAATCTAAGTTTCTTTCAGCTAATGTATCTTTCATATGAAATTTGAAATTGAATATTGAAAAAGATTGGGCAATTCTTTCCCATTGAAATCCACCAATTAAACTTCTATCAGCAAAACGAAATATATTTTTCAGTTCAAAATGTGTTACATTGGAAAAATTTTCTAAAAATTGCCCAATTAAATCAATTGACATATGCGCATCAATAGGAATTATACAAAGTAGATAGCGAGAAAAAGTCTGTTTGACTTACGTTTAACTATTAGAATAAGTTTTCTTAATGAATAACAGGGTTGAAACACGTAAACATCCTTGAAAACATCGAGAAAAGAGCGTAAGAGATTTCAATTGTGGTGCTTGTTGAAGAATTGCATTTAGTGGATGTAATGAATGACAATTCAGTCGTAACTGAAATAGATCTGGAAAATTCATTGATGTTAATGCATCCGAATACGTTGTACACAAATATTTTAATTGAAGAATCGTTTCTGAAGAAGATTTTCGTAAAAGTGAATAGAATTTCGTATTTGTATCTGTAAAGTCAACGAATTTTCCCTTTCCACCGGAATTATCAAACGAAAGAGAATGCAATCGTTTCAATTTAGATAATTCGGGTAATATTTTACACAGTGAGTCGCGTTCAACTTGGATCAACGAGAGTAATCGAAGATTTGCGAACTGTTGAATATGAAAGTAAGATAAAAAGATCGTTGTTAGTTCAGGTGTATCATTTTTGTTAGAAAGTATCAATGAAATCACTTGTTCTGGTTGAATTTGTTCACAAATACGTCGAAAAACGGAATATCAAGTGGATTGAAAATTGATTCGGTATGATGAATAAGATTCGAGAATTGAATTCATCTGATCGCTCAGATTCGAAAATGAATGAAGAATTTCATTTGTCCGCAAAGATATTGAAACAATTCAGTTGGTAAACGAGCCAATTGAGTCACCGTCGCGTTACTTCTCTACTTGCTTTGCTGTCGTTTTGTATAAAAAAAAAGAATTTTCGTTTGTTGAATATTTGAAAAAAGATAAGCGATTCTCAAACGAATACGAATATTATCATTTATCTCTATTTGCTTTAAGTAATTATCAAACTAAAAATCAAGAACAAATGCCTCATTGACACTCAAATCCACACACATACAAAGATTGATATATATACATGTAAATGCGAATATAACTGTGATTTCCTTCATTTTCAACATGGATAAAACATCATGGTGAAGTCAGTCTATCGATGTGGTTGTGTAAGAGAGTATGAGTGAAAGAATGTGATTAAGAATAGATTTGGAGATGGGAAAAAGAGATTATCTGATCCTCATCTTTTTAATCGTTTAGGAAAATGTTAATGATTTTAAAATGAAGATTTAGAGAAGAAAATTCGGTTAATAACAGGATTATTTACACCACAATGACGTAAAAGAGACACAATGAATGTCTTTGGATAATCTACGCTTATTTCATTAAATTGGATTTAATTAAGAATACCTTGTTTCAAACCTTTACTCAACTGAAATGATTATTCGATATAAATAAATAATAGAGATAAAGAGTATCGTAACACTTATGTTCAAAAAAAACAAAACAAATCAATTATTTGAATTGTCAAAAGTTACGTAATTGACAAAAGATATTCCGCTAAGTTTTAATTGGGAAAATAATGAAGTGACGGCTTTCGTTGCATTTGACAAATTGAATGTAATAATCCCCTTATTTAATTGAGAAAATACTATTTTCGATCCTTTCGTAACCAGACAAGAAATATTTTTGCATGTGTTACTTTGTTACTCACAACATATCCGTATGGCATCTTCTTTAGTTTCTACATTGGCCTTTGGTCAAACAATTCTTGTTCAATATGTTGAATTAATTCTATTTATCATTGGTACAGTTGGTTCACTACTCAATATTCTCCTGTTTTCTCAAAAGAAATTTCGTTTAAATTCTTGTTGCATCTGTAAGTGAAGATAATTTAATTTACTATAATAGTTTTTCGTTTTTATCTTGTTAGATTTTCTCGCCGCATCGATCTCAACAATAATCATGCTTTTCGTCGGCATTATTCCTCAAATCTATGCTCTCAAACACACTCCAAGTCCAATATTTAATCGCGACTTTTGTAAAGCTCGAACTTACTTAGCTCAAATAAGTGCAATGCTTTGCCGATGGTTATTAATAATTGCTTGTATTGATCGTTGTTTATTAACTTCAACCGATGCTCGTCTTCGTCGTTTCACCACGGTACCAATAGCCCAAAAATTAGTTTTAGTATTTTGTATTATTTGGATTCTCATTCCTATTCACGTGTTGATCTTTGCTGATGTTCGAAAGCTTGGTTACATTATTTGTATGATGTCAACAGATACAATGGCTATTTATCATAATATTTATACAATAACCTCCGGTGGAATCCTTCCACCATTGATTATGTTGATCTGTGCGAAAATTCTCTGGAAAAGTTTACAAGCAAAGCGACACCGTCGAGAATTGATTCAAGGAAGACAGAGAAGAAACGAAACTCAGAATACTCAAATCCTTATTATGCTACTGTTACAAGTTGTCATCTTCATCGTGTTCACTTTACCGTATATGTCATCGAATCTTTATTTTGCATTCACTCGTTCGGTTACAAACAAATCAGCAGATCGATTAGCAATTGAATCGTTCGTCAATTTATTCACAGAAGTGGTGGTTTTTGTTTATCCTGCTTTCACATTCTATTCGAACACATTAGTTTCACGAACATTTCGAAATGAATTACTCGTTCTTGTTCGAAGAATTCTAACTAGCGTTTGTGGCCAACGTTTTTATCGTATACAAAGAATTCATCCAAGTACTTTTACGATAACAAGAACACATCGACCAAATAATTTACCAATGATTCCAATAAATAAAGATTGAGCATGGACACCACTGCACATTCTCATTCGTGGACATTTAACGTCACTTTAACCATATCGTTCAACCCAAAACTGTCGTTTTTTCTGATGAGTCTGGTTACAGTTTTTTTTCATCTGACAAACTGGAAAAGTTTAATCGAGAGATTTCATTTTGATATTAGAAAAACTAGTATGAGTTAGTCTTCGTGTTGGGAATAGAAATATCAATGTCCACACCCGCAAGATTATGTCTCAAATTATTTCTAATTAAAAACATGTCTTATTTCAAATCTTTACTCTAACGGAAATGAATATTAGCAACAGAGAACATTGAAACCTTTTGATGTTCGAGATAAAGTCATATCACATTAAAAACGATATTAAAAGACAAGACAAATTAAGTCAAGCATCTAAATTGCAAACGAGTTTATAATCAAAGCCTCCAAAAATAGAAAGAAAAAGATCAATCAACAAGACTATGAATATTCAAATACTAAGTTTTACTTCAAAGAAAATCCAATGAGTTTTCATAAAGAAAATAATGAATCAAATGCTTTTCTTGTGTTGACAAGTTGAATGTATCCATCCTCTTGTATAATTAAAAACTTCTATTTTTGATTCTTTTTATTAACATGCAAGAATCTTTATCGCGTATTATATTCCTGCGCGCACTGTATGGCGTCTTTCTTAGTGTCCACATTGGCTTTTGCTCAAACTATTCTTGTTCAATACGTTGCAACAATTTTATTCGTCTTCGGTACAATCGGTTCCATTCTCAATATTCTCCTGTTTTCTCAACAGAAGTTTCGTTCAAACTCTTGTCCCATTTGTAAGTCAGCACAATTCTTTTTTAAACTCATTAATTTTCTTTCCATTTCGAAAGATTTTCTTGCGTCATCGATCGCAACATTGATCTTACTATTNAGATCAAGCGACGAAACTGATCGCTGCCATCCGACGATGTCACATAGTGGTTCGTGATGCGAACCGAATTCATCATTTCGATCCGGATGGTCACTGTTCATGTAATGACTATTTCTGATCGATATGAAGCCTTCGTTTTCAGTCAAATTACTGGCTAATATGTTGTTCAAATTATAAACTATTGGTTTTAACTTGATGAACAATCATGAGAAAACTGATATATGACATCCGACCCATTGCGTTTCGGTATTCAGTTTGAATGGTCGGTTTTCGATACGTCGAAATCAAGAAATTTTTCATGTAGCAGTGAGCATCTAGAAATATCTACTTGGTAAATAATTACTCGAATGTATAGGCGATTTGATGTATGGAATATTGCAGTCAAATAGTAATAGTTGATCAATCAGTTGTCGTTGTTCTACGAAATTATTGCTAGATATAAGATTAGGCAGAAACTTGACATCAAATGAGTGTGATATGTTAAGCGCACTGAGAAATCTGAAAGGTCATTGGAAAGTCTAGGCAAATAAAGTTGGACAGCAAGAACATAATATAATTTGTAAATAAGGATTAGCAATACAACACGTTCGTTATCGATATCTGAACAATTGGCACGACTGTTGTAATTGTACAGGGAAATATTAAATAGTTCATATTAACAAAAATTTATACTAGAAATACTGGCGTGAAGCTTTTATCGCGAAGATTAGTACACTCTAGTCTTTAAATGACTTGTTCTCCGAGGTTTGATGCTGCATCTTATTGCTCGCGCAGCTACCACCTGCAGACGAACTTTCATGTTATCTTGGTATGGCCATCTTCTGTCTGGTAGTTTCATGCTGATGGTCGGCCTCAACTACAAAGCGTTGAGATCTGACAAGACGAGGATTGATGAAACAATACGATGTGTCTCGCATGGTCTACTAATATTTCTTTACATTCCTAGTATGGCCAACAATAAAATCTAACCTGACACGCTGACTTAAGTAATCGAGTTATAACGTTACACCAATGATGATCGCAAATGTATCTTCTTCTATTCTAATGCTTCTTCTTTTCCTTTTGTTGTATTTTGTAGTATGCACATCTGAAAGTGTGTGCTTTCGTTGTGTCTAGTCTCGAACTAGGTAGAAAAGAAAAGCATTGAGAAATATATTTGTCATTCATATTCCACTAACAAGTTGAGAAAACAAAGGAAAAATGAAATATTAGTAACCATAATATGCGTATGTATTTCTTCTGTGAAAGTATTTTAATGTTATTATTATTTGTACAGGTTCATTATTTTCACGTCATACGTACGCGTGACAAAAAAAAAAGAAAATGAAGAACGATTAATGTAATCAGCACAAAATATGCAAAAAGGTATATGTGTGATTGATTTAGCAATAAAGAAAGAAGGTATTGAACAGATAAGTCAACAGTCATATATACGAAGTGTTTGTGAGTATAGGATAGAGGAAGATTTGAAGAGAAATATAAGAACACATATCAGTTAGGAAAATGAACAAAAAATATCTGACATAACAATGAACAAATAAGACACGCACACACATCGACATTCAATATCACTTGGCACTCTCTTTCACAACAGGTACAACAACGGGTGCCGGTACAGGTAGATTTTGTGGATCAAATTGTTTGAAATAAGAATGACTAAGGCATTGTTTAGCTGATATACGTCGCACTGGATCGTAGACAAGCATTTTCTAGAATCAAATATAAAGCGACATTTTACAAGAGAAAATAGTTAAATATTTCGGTCAACGAACAAGAAGTAAATCAAGTGCGTCATCACGCATACGATCATTAAGTAAGGATGATAGATCGCTGCTTTGTTTCCATCGCGGAAATGATGATTTAAATTCTGGTAACGATACAACACCAGGCCATGTTTCGTCTGTTGGTGTACCGAGTGTTCTACGTAAAATAACTGATGAACTTCACGATACGAGTCAAAACTTCAAATCTGTACCGAAAAATGCGAAAGAGTTGATCGATTTCCGAGTCACCTTGAAACAATGGACGTTTTGTATACATTTCAGCAAAAATACAACCAACAGACCAAACATCAACTATTGAAATGAAAACTACAAAAAGAATAATCATCTTTTCTGCATACCTGGACATGAATAACGCGACGCACCGAGCAATACTTCAGGCGCACGATACCACAATGTCACAACCTGAATAGAATCAATTGATTTCAAACAAAAATCGAATGTTTATCCTCAGCTCACTTCATGTGTATAAATTCTCAATGGAACACTAAATGCTCGTGCTAAGCCAAAATCAGCAAGTTTAATAATACCTTTGGTATCCACAAGCAAATTTTGTGGTCTAAGTATTAAAAAAATTCGTATGAATTGCGAAAAATCGTTCAATAGTTTCGTTTTACTTCAAATCACGATGAATTATTCGTCGACAATGACAAAAAAGTAATGCATCGATTATTTGATACATATAACTCTAAATATCAACGCGAATTACAAGGCAAACCTGATCTCTGATCTTACTCGAATTAAAAGAACATCCATGTCTTCATTTTCACCTAAGCAGTCTAAATATTTCTTCAGATCCATTGCTAAATATTCGAATATTAAATAAAGTCGAGCATCAGTCAGAATCACATCACGAAGTCTATTTCGAAAAATGAACACACAAAACTTGCTATCATTCAATCTTACTGAACAATATTTTGATGTCGAAGTTCTTTCAAAATTGATATTTCCCGAATAGCTGTTGCCGGCACTCCATCATCTTCGCCTTCCAATCGAATCTTTTTCAAAGCATATATCTGTGATGTTGGTCGATGACAAACTTTATACACAATACCGTATGTACCTGAGTATCCAATGAGAAAAAGTACATTGGGAGTGATAGGTAAAGAAACAATTAATACATACCTTCCCCTACTTTACTCAGTCTTTCGAAATCGTCGATATTAAACTGAGAAGGCATGTTAGAACACTGCTCTGAAATCGAAAAATTCCGTGACGATTTGTTTACAACGGTATGAAAGGGAATGGATCGAAAATAAACGTAAACGTAAACGAAAACGAAAATGTGAAGCAAGCGATTGTCAGCCGTCAGGCTGATTATAACAAAGACCACGAACGAAGTGGACCAATGAATAACGGCAAAATCTAAAAATTGAGCGATCGATAATTAACCTTATTTGAATACTCGAAAGATGTCCTATGATTCTTCTCAAGTCTGAATTTTTCTCAAATACTTCATTAAGTTTTCTTAAGTATTACGAATGAGGGCGCCACTTCTTTTTTCTCATCTGTTTACCCTATACATTGCATACATAAAGCGTGACAGGATGTTGTTGAAATGAAAAATCGCTCTTCTGATTTACATTCGACTTCTTTGGAATTCAATGTGCGTCGAACAGCTGCTCAATCATCAGTTTCTGATGACAATCACATCATTAAAGAAACTAAACCTGTTTATTTAGATCATTTCTCCTGTAGTTCGGCAAATTTTATCTAAAGATCCATCCTATATGCTGTTCGTTTCGATGGACAATTATTGGATAATCAAAAGCATCTTGTCCGACAACATTCTCGAACTACACGTCGAGCTGAAAATCTCGTTACAAAAATAGACAAAGATGAACAGGATTTACCTCATCCTCCAGTTGTTGCTTTTCCATCTGCTGAGAATAAATTCAAAACGGATTTAGGCACAGAAGATAGAACTGTACCCAGTCATGAAATAGCACGTTGTTTTGGTTGTGGTGCACAACTTCAATGTTCTGATCGAACGAAAGCATATGAGATCGATGAACAAGTCTATAGAGATATTCAAGCAGAGATCAAACGAAAACGTGTCTTGATTATCTTAATTGTCGATCTTCTTGACAGGCCAGATTCAATTAGCCGATCATGGACACATCGCGTCGATCGAACATCTCAGCTGACAAAGTCCTCATTGAATGTTGTGATTGTTCTCGGAAACAAAGTTGACCTTTTACCAAACGGTATGTTAGTTTTAGAACTTTTCTGTATATTTTCTGTATATCATTTTATCATAGACAGCGAGTCATATCTATCCGTTGTGCGAAAATGAATCTACAAAACGTGATTTGGGAAAGCACTGAGTCAAATATTATTGTTTAATTAGTGCCCAAACGGGCTATGGAGTTGACGAATTGGTTTCAAAAGTTTTCCATTATTGGTCACAACATCGTTCGTTTTTCAATACTCTTTGCTTTCGAAAATATCGAGCTTCTATTTCGAACAGGTGGTGCTTAACTGCTTGGTGCAACTAATACGAACAAGAGTAGTTTATTCAATGGTTTAATTGATTCAGATCTGTGTCATATTCATGCACTTGATTGTATTCAACGTGTGACCATATCGAATCTTCCCGCTTTTACTCAGGAACGACAATGAATGTATTTCGATTTTCAATTCAATTATGAACGGGGAAAAATCAGTTCATGCGTGCAGAACGTTTGAAAGGACGCGAGGAAAATGAAAATGTCGGATGACAGTAAAACGGAGTCCATCGAAAATGAAACACCAATCGTCGGTAAGTTTTACGACGAGCTAAAAAAAGATTGATGCGAGAGGAAAAGTCGTTTCCAGAAAATATTGAATCAATGATGAAATGACGTCATCAATTTTAGTCTGGAAGGAATCTGCCAAAAAGTGAAGCATCATATACGTTTTCATCCGGCAACGGCTCGTTTGATGAAGATCGCTCATTTCTCTCACATGAACATAATTACATGAACTATCGATAAATGAATAGTAAATATTTTATTAAACGTTGCTCAAACAATATTAATTGGGGGAATCTCGACAATTGGCGTTAAACATGTTCGTTTATTAATCTTGGTTTGCCATGAATTGAATATTTATTGTTTTTAGATGAACGAAAAGGCATTGAAAAATGATCAACTTGGAGTAAGCAGTTTACTCTGCGACTAGATCCAAAGGAAAAGCATGATTTTATTTAGAAAAGGTTCTCCAAAATCGTATCAATGATCGACTTCAAGATCCACCTCAACCTCGTGGGCCAACCGTTGAAATTCTTATAATTGGAGAAGAAGCTGGAGATATCGTCCTATCATCTGCAGGTAAATATTCGATGATCAATGTTGCGACGAGACCTTCCGATACAATACAATATCTAGGATAAGCGAGTGTTCAGTGTATTTATGACTAATATGTCATATTTGACGCAATGACACCAGATGGTCTTGGTATGCATCTTCGACAACCAGCGATACTTAAGAATTTATTTCATTTATGTGGTTCACACATAGAACGAGCACCATTCTTCAGTAAACATTCTTACGTGGAAGATCAAAACAAATGTGTGATCATGATGATGATCGAAAGCAATCGAATGAACTTGAAATGATCATAAATGAAAGACTATGCAAAGGAGAACAAACTACGTCTCGATGACGAGCAAAACGTATATAAATAATTGTGAGTAGATTCTACAGAATTCAATGTCAAAATATGATGAAGGTATAAACGAAAACACTACCGTGATGTATATAACAGTTGTCTATGTTTAAAAATGCTCTCAAATTTTATACAATAGGTTTTATCCATACATAGAGAAAAGCAATTGCTAAATTACGATTTGATTTTCTGTATTTTGTTATTATTAATTAGCCAAGCAAATAAGTGCTTTTAAAACTATGATTCAGTAGTCAAGCGAATGCTTATGTGACATAATAAGTGCCTCAGAAAATTATCAAGTTGCTTTGTATTCCTACATTTTCGAATAATTTGCTTTTATGATTAATAGTTCACACAGATTTTTTTTCGACTTTTGAATTTTTTCCGAAACATGGAGCATTATGTTTCTGTTTATTCGTTCTCCATCACCTACAGCGCAGTCAAAGATCATATATAGAAGTGAACGAACATTGGATATTTTTTTCAAACAAGTTCTCGTTTTGTTTAAGAAAGAGACAACTAAAGTTTATTTAGATAAAGCGCTCAACGTTCTTCAGATCATGTCCAGTGATAATGAAGATACTGTATACGTCGATATTCATCAAGCTAAAGGCAGCATAGCGTCCATTCGAACCGACTCACTCGGTCCTTGTTTAGGCTTTTTCATTAGATTTTATTATGGTGCACAGCCAAAATGTTTTCTTGATCATTATTCGTTTGACATTGATGAGTCAAGCACGTCATTGCATGACATATGGAACGTACTTTTAAAACGAATATGTCTCAAACTAAGATCTTGCTTGAATGGTATGCCTGCCATTAGACCTACTTCTGACCGTAGCGGTGTTCATAATGTGAAGCTAATGCATATCTAGTGGCGTAACCAAGGTTGGGCGGCGCCCAACCACCGGGGCTGTTCGCCCAACCAACGGTAACTTTTTGAAAACTGATTTCTTAAAATTTAAAATTTATACATGATCATGAATCATCACTATTTTTCAAAGCAGAGTGTTCTCTGTCATAGTAATAATCATTGGTTTATTGAATAAACCAACAATAAGCATTTCCCTTATATTCGTGACTTCAGTTTTCAGTTTACGAGAGAATTTTATGAGTAACATTGTGATGCTGGTTACGATCTTTATTCTTATTGTTAATATGCAATTTAATGATATAAAGAACGAAAGCGAAATACTCTTCACTCCTTTTTTCGTTCGTAATTTAAGAGAAAAAAACTTGATACTACTATTTCTCGTGTTGATGAATTTCCAGAAAAAGCAGAATCTCGTTCATTATCTTCATCAGTAACAATAGCAAGAGTACGAAAAACCACAAGATTATCAGCCAGATTTAAAAATATTGTTATTAACAGTACTATTGGCCAACGTACGCAAATGAACAATGAAGAACAATATTGAACAAATCTTTTTAATTCTTTAATTGATTCGATATTAATCGAACTAAATAATTGGTTTTCTTTCGAAAATATCGATATTGTTAGTGAAATTTCAGCTAATTGTACTGACAATGATAGTTTTTTGGACTGTATCAAACTGAAACCGTTTGCAATACAGATGGCAGTCGATTTATACTTATAATACAATGAACTAAAAGTTTTGAAGTCGATGTTAAAAGCATCAAACTTAAAAACAATTGTCGATCTATATATGGAATTATTACCTTCGAAACCAACGTTTTCAACAGTGATGCATCTTGTTGTTACTTCAATGTCTATACCTGTGCCATCAACGACATGTGAACGCACATTTAGTAAAATGAAACTGATAAAAACAACCACATGTAATTCTAAGTCAGATACTCAATTGAATGACTTTTGTGTTTTACCGATTGAACACGATTTTGATATCGATTTCGAAAACTTGTTTATGACTTTGCTGACGCACATAAAAAACATGATCTTTGTACTTTTCAATAAACAAGCAAGCCAGTATTTGACAAAATATTTTAAAAATTAGTACACCCTGTATATGTGGTCTACGAAAAAGAATATAACACTTCACTGAAAATAATCTTTTCAAACACCGTTAGGGCGTCGCCCAACTACCTTTCAAATCCTGGCTATGCCACTATGCATATCGGAGGTAATAGTAATGAAAGTCAAAATATCAAAGCTGCATTTTCCTTATTGAAGAAAAACGATTACGATCTGGAATGTACCATTTTCGAGTTATGATTCGCACTATCTGTGTACGCCATCGATCAACTAAGAGATCATATTCGAATCACTATAATTCGAAATCTTAATAATGAAGAAGAAGCTCAAGGTTGGTTTGTTACTTGCGTTCTAAAAGCTTTCAGATATATTTAATTTATACAGCACATCAAACAGATGGAACTGTAGATTCTCTGTCAGTGCACTGTAAAAAAAAGCGTAGAATTATAAACTCTCGAAAAGGGATGATGGTCGTGACATGAACCTCTTTTGGGTTTGTGAACGTCATATATTCTCTAAAAAACCCTTGTTATCCACAAAACTTTGAGGGATTTGTTATACGTTGCATTTTCATAAACCTTCAGGGTAGATGAGCATTCATCTACCCTTAAAGAGCTTGTTCATATATTCATCAGAAGAACCGTAGAAGCCAAAAGCGACATTCGAGGGTTTATGAAAGTGCAACGTATAGCATATCCTCCATATAAATCGCAGGGTTAATAAACCCTTTAAAAGGGTTGATTATTCTGCCCTTTTTCTTCACAGTGTAACACTTTGTCATTCCTGTTTGATGAAAAACTTCACAGTTCGTATTCAATGGTTTGCACTATTTGGGTCAATTAATTTGGCGACTATCAATGCTAATTTCATTGCAAAAAATTAGTGAAATCTGACTGGGTAACATTTAGTGTTCTCGAAAACAAAACTTTCATAATCAAAATAAATCTCTAATGTAAGCGGTAGAGTTGTTCATATTCCACTATAGTTTTAAGTAAAAAAATTAATTGACACGTATTAATCCCTTTTGAGGGAAATCGAATCGGTTTCCAAAGGAGCCAAGGCCATAAAAGATGTACTGTTTTCCATTTTTTCATTTATCATTGTAAATGTGAAAACAGAATTCATTGACGATTCGTACTCTAATGCCATCTATCTGCGCACGCCAGCCATGCGTAACTGTTGAAATTATTACACGTCATTTGTTTTCGTCAAAAAACATATATAAGTACGTGATCACCATGAATTACTACTCATAACGAACAAAAATCAAATATTTTTCACTCCTTCCAGTCTCTACGGCACGGTCTCCTGCACGATTGAAATACAACATGCACACATTTTCCACATTACCTCTCGAACTAGTTTATCGAATTATGGATCATCAAAATGAGCAGACGCTATTTTGTTCAATGCCAAATATTTGTCGACGGCTCAACCAGATCCTGAATACTTACCGGCGATATCAAGTAAGTTCACTTGGTACTTTAACATTCTTGTCGACTTATGTGTCATACATTACCTTAATCGTATTTGATGTCGTAGGTTCCCTCATAGAAAAAGCTGAACTAATTTCATGATTCACAAACAATTTGCTAGGATGGGGCAATTACAGGCAGAAGTCATATGGAATCAACCATTCCTTCACTCTCTCCCCTGTGTTCTATCTACATTGAGGTTGCATTCGACCCATATGCGACCCAGAACGAGCAAAGCGCTTAGTTATTCGTTACTGTTTTTGTGTTGAGCTACTCGATCCAAAAATTGCATCAATTACAACTTTTCAGCGAACTCATGAACTCAAGCAAAAAACACTATCCAGTTGCTAGACCGATGCCAATATTCATTCTCAACAGCGATACATCAAGTCCAATTCCCACATTTCAGAAGAGTAGATCTTGGCCTTCACTTGAGCGCGTCTTCAAAAGAGAAATCTCCTTACCACCAATAGATATTGAAACTTAAGTCCTACTCTTTGCATCCCATCCTTTCGCAGTAACTTCCTCCCTACTATCCCGACACCTCACCTCTTTCCTGAGCAACAACTAGCATCATCATCCATCCGAATAATTCACCTCTACACACAACTGCTCCATAAAAATCGGCCCAACACATAACTATCTCATATGACATGCATACAATCAAAAGTGCAATCAAAAGTTCTTTTTCCTACTTCCGCTTTTCATTATATATTACTTCAATGCAGACACTCACAACACTTAACCTTCATGGAAACGGAATCGGTGTTGAAGGAGCACAACGCATTGCGGATGCGTTGCGAACGAACACGGTAATATTGATCTCATTTCATAAAAGATCAAGCACTCAGTCTATCTCACTCCCACAGACACTCACAACACTTAACCTCCATGGAAACGGAATCGGTGCTGAAGGAGCACAACGCATTGCGGATGCGTTGCGAACGAACACGGTAATATTGATCTCATTTCATAAAAGATCAAGCACTCAGTCTATCTCACTCCCACAGACACTCACAACACTTCACCTCGGTTGGAACCAAATCGGTGCTGAAGGAGCACAACACTTGGCGGATGCGTTGGGAACGAATACGGTAATATTGATCTCATTTCATAGAAGCTCAAGCACTCAATCTATCTCACTCCCACAGACACTCACAACACTTTACCTCGATTGTAACGGAATCGGTGCTGAAGGAACACAACACTTGGCGGATGCGTTGGGAACGAATACGGTAATATTGATCTCATTTCATAGAAGCTCAAGCACTCAGTCTATCTCACTCCCACAGACACTCACCGCACTGCACCTCCGTGAAAACGAAATCGGTACCGAAGGAGCACAACACTTGGCGGATGCGTTGCGAACGAATACAGTAATATTGATCTCATTTAATAGAAGATGAAGCACTCAGTCTATCTCTCTCCCACAGACACTCACCACACTTCACCTCGGTTGGAACCAAATCGGTGCTGAAGGAGCACAACGCATCGCGGATGCGTTGCCAACGAATACGGTAATATTGATCTCATTTCATACAAGATGAAGCACTCAGTCTATCTCACTCCCACAGACACTCACCACACTTCACCTCCGTGAAAACGAAATCGGTAACGAAGGAGCACAACACTTGGCGGATGCGTTGCGAACGAATACGGTAATATTGATCTCATTTAATAGAAGATGAAGCACTCAGCCTATCTCACTCCCACAGACACTCACCACACTTCACCTCGATGTGAACGGAATCGGTGATGAAGGAGCACAACGCATTGCGGATGCGTTGCGAACGAACACGGTAATATTGATCTCATTTCATACAAGATGAAGCACTCAGTCTATCTCACTCCGATAGACACTCACCACACTTCACCTGTATGCTAACGGAATCGGTGCTGAAGGAGCACAACGCATTGCGGATGCGTTGCGAACGAACACGGTAATATTGATCTCATTTCATAAAAGATCAAGCACTCAGTCTATCTCACTCCCATAGACACTCACCACCCTTAACCTCGATGTGAACGGAATCGGTGATGAAGGAGCACAACGCATCGCGGATGCGCTGCGAACGAATACGGTAATATTGATCTCATTTCATAGAAGATGAAGCACTCAGTCTATCTCACTCCCACAGACACTCACAACACTTCACCTCGGTGGAAACAGAATCGGTGATGAAGGAGCACAACACATTGCGGATGCGCTGCGAACGAATACGGTAATATTGATATCATTTCATAGAAGATGAAGCACTCAGTCTATCTTACTCTCACAGACACTCACAACACTTCACCTCGGTGGAAACAGAATCGGTAATGAAGGAGCACAACACATTGCGGATATGTTGGATTTGATGCGTTATTATCGTGTTTTCCGGGAAATTCATTTTTGACCTAGTAAATACTGAAGGTACCACACACACCGCCTATCATAATCGTCATAGACTATTTCCCAATTTCCAAGGTTCGGAAATTGAGGGTGACTTTTTATTATGAATGTCCATAATGGACATAATGTCCCTAATGGAAAATTTAGTAATTTTCAGGCATGGAGATTTGGTGAGGACTCTTCATACGATGAGAAGTGTATGGTAAAGCATTGAATATAAGCTTATTTAATGTTCGATCACCATGGCGTAAACAAACTTCATGCTTATTATTATTATAATTTATAGGGGTTATATTAAGACTGGTTTCGTTAATAACGTAAGGAGGATTGAAAAAAATGGAGATGATGAACTGCACTGAAAAAAAAAGGTGTTTTACCAAACCAAAAAAGCAATCGGTCGGCGGGCACAATCGCTAAACCTCACATGGTTTGGTCGCAAAAAGGTTTCGTATTGATCCTTTACATGATCGGTGATAAAAAAAGATTTCGCACATCAGGTTTCGTACGAAACCATTCCCAAAAATATTTTCAAAAGGTTTTTTCTGAGGGCTTCCATATGGAATACCTCTCGAGAATTTCCCACCATTGACGCCCTTGGTGAGTGCGTAATCCTTTTCTATGAGAGTCTTTATCTGTCTGATCCTGCCCAGTACGATAAGACGCCAGCACAATAGAGTATTTCACCAGTTCTTCCTGTGAAAGTCATATTTACACCATCAGACATCTGATCCTCGACGACCTAGAAGGTTTATACATAGATGAGATTGTTTTGAGTTCTATTCATGCATGTCATATATGATATACACAAGAAACTGGAAAGTTACAAATGTTTCGAACTGCTTCAATTCAGTTCTCACGCTTACTTTTACTCAAGTAGCGCCTAGAACATTTGTAACTTTCCAGTTTCTTATGTATATCATATATGACATGCATGAATAGAACTCAAAAACAATCTCATCTATGTATAAACCTTCTAGGTCGTCGAAGATCAGATATCTGATGGTGTAAATATGGCTTTCACAGGAAGAACTGGTGAAATACTCCATTGTGCTGGCGTCTTATCGCACTGGGCAGGATCAGACAGATAAAGACTCTCGTGGAAAAGGATTACTCACTCATAAGAACGCCTTACCTACACCGCTCACAGAATTGCCTATACTACTCACAGCTGAACATAGACTCACTGAAACAGCTATGTAAAATGAAACTCCTACCTTTCTCTCGTCCGCTTGATCGCGCTTCTCCATCACTAACAGACCACTGGCGACCTGAAATAATTCTAAAGCACAAACACAGGTATTCACTGAGAAGAGGTAGTTACATTTCATTCGCGCATTCCGCCCAACATATAACCTAAACAGCGAAGAATAATATATGGGAAGAAATAAGTATATACTTATCTATCCAATTGACCTCCATGTAGCCAAGTCATTTGAATGATTAGCCGGACAGTACACGCCATAACACGACCATATATCAGTCTAAAACAAAACACTGGCTACTCATTCTCGATGACTTGGAAGCTATCAGGCTCATAGACTATATCGACTTGGCCGACCGTGGTGAGTTCTCATTCTCGATGATTTGGAAGCTATCAGACTCATAGACTATATCGACTTGGCCGGCCGTGGTGAGTTCTCATTCTCGATGATTTGGAAGGAATCAGACTCATAGACTGTATCGACTTGGCCGGCCGTGGTGAGTTCTCATTCTCGATGATTTGGAAGCTATCAGACTCATAGACTATATCGACTTGGCCGGCCGTGGTGACTAGTCCGTCGCGATGGTTCGGGAGGTATCGGGCGAAACCCCTTAGGCCTTTGTTTAGGAATAAATGGTTCTGGAGGCCCGGTACGGAACCTCTGATTACTTCGTAAAGGAAGAAATGGTTCAGGAGCTCTAGCACGGAACTCTTGATGGTTTCGTGAGATGAGGAGTGGTTTGGTAGATTTGATACGGAGCCCTTTATGGCTTCAGAAAGAAATGAATAGCTCTGGAGGTGTGTGGCGGAACCGTAATGGTTCGGTAATATGAGAAAAGGATCTGGAAGTTTAGCGCGGAACCCTTCATAGTTTCGGAAAATGAGGGATGGTTCGGTTGGTTTGGCACGGAACCTTCCATGATTTGGGAAAGGGAGGAAAGGTTCAGGAGCTCTAGCACGGAGCCCTTGCTGATTTCATGAGATGGGGAATGGTTCGGGAGGCTGTAAAGAGGAGAATGATATATCGATTGTGTGTATGAACACAAGAACCCTTTATTAATTAGAAACATCGGGTTTAAATAGGTTTGAAGAGAACTAGAACACTAGGGAATATAACATGACGTCAGGACAGAAGATATCGAAAACATATGATGAACATATATCGTGACGTCATATGGAAGAACCGAACGAAAGTGTATGACGTCATAGATATAGGATTTTCCCTCTTAACAAGGCCCAGTATCGGAGCCCACGTGGTTCCGTAAAATGAGAAGTGGTTCGGGAAGTGTAGCACGGAACTCTTCATGGTTTCGGAGAGGGATGAATGGCTGCGGACGTCTGGTACGAAACCCCACAGGATTTCGGAAAATGAGGTATGGTTCGGGAGGTCTGGTACGGAACGTCTGATGGCTTCGTAAAGGGAGAAATACTTCGGAAAGCGTGGTACGGAACTCAGGAAGGTTCGGCATCCGAAATGCGAAACCTCAGTCACCCTAGTGATGTAAGTAAAGGCTCGGCATCTCTAATACGAACCCCTACATGTTTTCGTAAGTCTGTTTCGAAACCTTTATGTGCTCTACGGAACTACGGCAGGTTTTGTACCAGACATACGAAACCAAAAAAGTTCAGTATACGCGCTGCTGAACCTTTCAATGGTTTGGCAATAACAGCACGAAACCTTTTTGGCCCTCAGAACCTTAAAAAAGTTCTTTATTTACGCTACGGAACCATTTTGGTGGACTACCTTTTGTTTTTCAGTGCAGTTGAGTATCTTTTTGTGCGTGTAAATGGAAAGTTTCCATAAACAAGATAAATATCAAGGTTATCTGTGCCTGCATTAGCAACAATGATATGTATACATGTATCATTATTAAAGTAGAAATGGCGAATGATTGCGATAGAGCCATAGCGCCGGCAAGCATTTTCGGTTTTCGTCGAAAGACAATATTTCGACAACCAAACATGATGCTTAATGCAATAGCGCCAGAACTAACTGCAACAATATCAAGTATGGTGTCATTACGGAAATCATAGAGGACCACAATATGGGGATCAGATCCGACGGATAACGTTTTTTGAGGTGCAAACTCTCCATTCCCATAGCCTAACAGTACACTAACAGCACTAGAGCCAATATCAGCAGTAATTACATATGAATAATCATCGTTATTAAAGTCGGCAATGGCGACAGATATATCAAGAATATGTACGACAAATATTTTGGGTCTCGATAGGATCCATTTCCATACCCGAGAGGAACACTTACAATACTGTAACTTGATGTAGCTGCATCAATTTCTAATCGAGTGCCATTATTGAGATCTCCAAAAGCTAAATACAATGGTTTTTTTGTCAACTTATAAGGTCATTTCTTCACGAAATGTACCATTATCGTATCTGAAAAAAATGCCAATATTATCAGAATCATACTTAGCAACAGCGGTATCTAGGGTGAGGATCATTATAAAAATCGTCTATAACCGCATGCCGTGTATCAGAATCACCCGTAGATTGAATCTTTATTGTAAACGATCCATTGTCATAGTCTCGTGACAGTCTAAATGTATGGTTTGCCGGAACAAAAACTATGTCGAGATGTTGATCATTAGCGAAGTCACCCACCGCAACAGACCATGTCGGGACAGAATCAATTGAATATATTATTGAACTGCTGAACGTGCCGTTGCCAAAACCAAGTAACACAGAGATAGTATCGGAACTCTCATTAGCAATAACTATATCTATATCTAATCGTTTATCATTATTAAAAAATCACCAACAGTTACAGATAGTGGATTGAGACCAACTGAATATGTTGAGTGATATATAAAACTACCATTACTTCGTCCAAAAAAGATAGTTAAACTGTCTGAATCATAATTGACAACAAGAATATCAATGGAACTTTCGTTATTGACGTAGTCGAGAGCTAAATGTCGCCGACGTACACCAGTCGAATATCACATTTGGTTTTCAAAAGATGCTGTGTTGTACACATTAAATATGTCAATATAATTAGTATCGCTATATTCAACAACTAGTTCGGATCGCTTATCATTATTGAAACCGGAGTAGCTGCCTAATTCGACTTATAATATAAGTGACCATGGGCGGCGCATGCTTAATCTTTTAGGGGAGGCAATAAAATTTTTTACCAATAGTGAGTATAGGTTTTCGATTTTCAAAAATGCACACAATCGATTTATTTTCGAAATTCATAAATAGTTCATTCATTTTCAGAATACTTTTTTTCCTATCCTCTTTTTTCGAAATAAATTGGGTAACAAGTGTGATATACTCTTTAAAAACCTATCAAAAGATGCGAATATTAGGAGAGGCAATAACTTTTTATTGCCTCCCCAAATTTTCCATAGGAGAGGCAATTGCCTCCTCTCGCCTCTATGGCGCACCGCCAATGTAAGTGACTAATTCCTACCACCCTTAGGAATAGAAATAGATTTAGTTTTACTTATACATATATACCCTCACACCCCTGTGCGTTTAGGAATAGAAATAGATTTAGTTTTACTTATACATATATACCCTCACACCCCTGTGCGTTTAGGAATAGAAATAGATTTAGTTTTACTTATACATATATACCAACGCCAACACCCACCGCAGCACCCTCAATCGAGATATATTCGTGTCCACACCCACCCCGGCACCCTCAATCGAGATAGATATAAGTCAGGGTATGGGTGCATGTATGCATAACTAAAACTAAATCTATTTCTATTCCTATCTAGTTATTTGTTATAAGGGTTATATAGATATCTATTTATATTCGAATTGATACTAGCCTGTCGGGGGTCGGCTTATAATATAAGTCGAATTAGACATCTCATGCATTTAGTCTCTGTTTGTTTATAAATGAGTACCAACAACGAATACAATCGTGTAGTAACAGGCCGTATGTGTTGTAGATAAACAATAGAATTTGCAACAACCAGCAATGTTATCGACAGGATTTGTATATACGAATATATAAAGCAGTCGAAGATGAGCGTGCCCGTAGTCAAAGAAGGAAAATATATGTATTTTGTTTTCAGTAAATAAAATCGCGCCGTGCAATATTGAAACTTTTTAGCTGAGTATACAGTCACTTTTATTACCACTAAAAACAAATAGAGAGAAGAAATTGTCATTGTTAAAATCAGGCAAACATGCTTGGATTAATTAATGTTCTTTATTTCTCAGTAATTGGAGGAACCTATCCTAACACATGAAAAATATCCTCCCACATTTGTTCTGATTAGAGAGCTCACGCTCAAAAGTATCTTTATTATAAATAGAAAAAAGATATTTTCTTAAGCTATATGTGTCATAATATCCCTCCGTACAACACACTATTTATTTAAGCCGATAAAACTGCCTTTCTCAGATATATTCTACTGAATTGAAGATTTTCGTTCAACTGTTCTGTGTATGAATCTATACTGCACAAGAATTCAAAACGGTCGTCCTCAAAACTTCCATCACCGTGTCCAAAAGCAAGATACTTCTTTTTTCTTGGAAAAAGACTTCTTCTCTATCGAATAATCCCTTTCGACAAGTTTCCATTTCACTCGTTCGCAATTTCGCGCAACAAGCAACTAACAAAGTGAACCGTCTATAATCACTTTATCTTGTCTTTTATATCACGTGCTTACACTATTCGATAAACATACATAGATTTTTTCACTTATTTTCTTCATCAATAAAGTCTGAAATCTCCGAAAAATAGTAATAAAAATATCAAGTAGCAAAAATTTCCGATATGAAAAATAGATATCAGTTCATGTGAATTCACTAATCAGATTTTTTGTCAATGTGCATGCGCCCGATAACTTGACAATTGGCATTTTTCTCAGCTGTATAATATTCACAATGGATGAATAAGACATGAAATAGATAGAACGCATCGAGTTCCACTTGGAACGAACGAAACGAGAGTTAGGATATCCTACATCAAAGATCGGTACGTCAGTTATTTTTTATTTGGATTGGGTAAAGTCAAATGACTTGCGATTTTATTTGAATTGTAGCTTGAAAATCAAGCTTTTTAGATGTGACTTGGTTTACCTTGTGTCAAAAACGTGACGTCTTTGCTGTGCTACAGGCGACTACATAAACGGATAAATTTTTGAGAAAACAATCACGCTTCCGATGGAATTAACATTAATAATCGTTCGGTTAGATTATTGAAGTGTGCTTGTTGAAAAATGTGACGACGTTTGAAATTTATGAGTAAGCTGCAAAATAGATCATGCATGAAGTAAAATATAGAATCTTTTCTGAAAAGCAATTGATATGGAACTTGACGTAAAAAAAACGAATTTATATTAGTAGATGATTGAGTAGATTGATATTGACCATTTGAATTATCGATCGAAACAGATTAAATTTTGTCGCTTTTAAAGTGATCAGCGGTTCAATAATTATATTTTTCATTTAACAACATTGGTGACTAGAAAACGCAAAAAAGCAGGCCGACAATAGTCGTTCTTCTATATCAATTATTGACATAAATCATAGTCGTAAATGTATATTTCTGAGAGGGTGGGTGGTATAGCTGACTAGCGATACCACATACCGTATCGTACTGCTCTAAGCAAAATGCATTTCCCATTCATAAGATTTTGAGTAAAGCCGCATCAGCAACGAAACAATAAATTGACATTTATTAACAATCAACATAAGCCATTTGTCACTGTCATTCTCACATGTCTTAACTCACGCACGTGTCATTTTAAATTTGTTTTGCATATGATCATCCATCGTTCGTTTTAAAAATGAACTGTCTCCTTCAATCTTTATCAAATCTTCGATTGGAAGCGAATCTACTCGCTTGTTCGATTTACTGTAAGTTTAACATTTATCTGACGACTAGAACAAAATGATTATCTTCTCTTTTAGGTAAATCTGTTTTTATTTGACATATCGAATGTTTCGCTTTTAAACAATTTCCTCTCAAGTAAAATGCAATGCTAAACGAGAGTTAACATATTCAACATTACATAGTTACGAATAGCTATCATCGACGAAATATGAAATCGATCAAAATGATTGAACAAGTCATAAGGATCATTTGATTCAATTTCCCGTAATTTTGAATCTATTGATACTAAACGATTCTCTTCATATCAACTTCGAATTTATTTGCTTATTTAGAACTTTTTGACTAATTCCTAATTGCGGTTACTTTTTTATTAATTAAGCAGAAGTGACCACATTCCGAAACAGAGTAAATAATGTAAAAATTCTACTAATTGAAAGGTGACCGCGTCTTATGAGAAAAGATATATTTCACTAATAATTCTCAGTATCGAGAGAGAGAGAAAGAGAAAAATGTTTTACAAACAAGTATCGTGAAAAACTGTGAACCATTTTTGTTCGATCGTTTTAAGTTGAATCGATATTTCTCATTCACAATTCCTGCACTACCTGATTGTGAAGTCAATCGACTAAAGCTTTTACTACTTGGCGACATCATGCCAGTGAAATGCATATATCTTGTTATGATTAAGGGTGCATTATATACAAGGTTGCAATTTCAAGAAAATCTTCAGATACGATGGTCGGACGTATGATTATAGGAAAAACTCTATTGATTGAATTATCAAGTGTTAAATTGCGACCATTTTGCAATCAGAAGAATTTTTTCACTTATCTACCCAGTTCCGGAATACGGTCACTTGTAATTAGCTGATTAAGAAAAGTGACCGCGATTAGGAAGCAGCGAAAATCATAATCTGGCCGGTCAACAATTATCAAAACGTTAGCATATCTTTGTCTTCGTCATCTGGGAACGAAAGTTAAATGAAAATCAAATCCACAGACGTTTATTTTGTGTAGCACAAATTGAATTAGCGCAGTTTGTCAATCGATAGTCAAACTTCAATAAAAAAGAAATGTTCATCAATGTTTAATTAGATAAAGTAGTTGGTGTGCGCTGAAAGATACGCAAAGATTAGCAATAAATAAGCGAGTGTTGAAATTTCTGTAGTTGAATTCCACATGATCGATATGTATTTAGATTGTTTAGAACATTAACAGTAGCTGTGTGTTGCATTAATGCTTTATTCGAATAGCATCGAGTTCGATTTCAAAGTTTTCTCCCGCCACTTAAACGACTCAGATCTCAATCAGAACTATATTCTTGATCATTATGCCATCAAAGAAATTTGAAGTTGGAGTGAAATTCACTGCACTTTTAGGTTGAAAATGTTCGACTGAATGCCAGACGGGCAACAAGCTTGCTGACGAACCTACTTTATTATTTGGAATAAAATTAGGAAATTCTTCGATACATATCAACACACTGATTAATTGTAAGTCTCGATTATTTGTATCGATCATTATCACCCACTATCGAAAGTAACTCATTTTCTTACCTCTTGAGAATGCTAAGTATGTTTGTCTCTTCTAACACGCTCAATCCATGTTGACTGTCAAGTCTTCTTCATTTCTCTACTTTTCACACAGGGATCATTTGACGCCAATATATGCGATACTGATTTGCATCGAAAAGCGATCTCATTCGAATTCACATTGCTCTACTTGTATTTTATCTGATACTATAGCTATACAATTATCGGCCACGTTGTTACAGTGGTATGAAAACACATCTGATATTTCAATGGTACTTTGAACAACGAAGTATAACTTAGCTTGCCATCCTGATAGCATCTGTTAACAACCTATCTAAACTGTATAAACAACTTTGAATAACTAAAAACATCATTGGAACATTTCTCAACAACTTTATTCCTGTATACGCCACCAGATAGAAGCTTCATTTTCAAATGACGAATGACGGGGACTATACAAAAAAATTTCCTTCTATCTATTCTCATCACATAACATCACCGAAATAATCGACTCATTAATTGATAATCAGTGTTTTGCTTCAATCTTCAACGTCTGATGCTATACTCACACTAATGCTGTCCTATTCAGCGCACTTTATTTTTTTTCGATTCTTCTTAATACGATATATCAAGATTTCCTCACATAGATTGGTCAACAGTTACACACGTAAACTGTAGAAATGACCAAATCTGAACGACATGCAGCTACTATGACTACGATGGTTGATGGTTCTCATTCGAATGCCACTTAATCGATCTCTCTACGCACGACGTTCTTTTATCAACAAAACAAAAACAAAGAAAAGTGCAGAGCGATCAGAAATAGTCATTACATGAACAGTGACCATCCGGATCGAAATGATGAATTCGGTTCGCATCACGAACCACTATGTGACATCGTCGGATGGCAGCGATCAGTTTCGTCGCTTGATCTACAAGCAAAAAATGTCACGAAACACGATGGCAAGTGAATTATCACTCACGACAGTCACCACACACACGCAAGTTCTTCGTTATTTGGATGAATGTTGTGTCAGCATTAGCCACGAAGTTCCAAGCGATTGCGAGCTTTTCGCTATGTCCACAAAGAACTGATTCGATCGTTTCATCTTCTGCAAGCGGTCGCGTGATCCATGACGAGTCATACTCATGACCATGGTCGATCATTTCTCGTGAGATCTTCTCCAGTTCCACATAGATCTCGGCACTTCGTGGATGAGATCGATCGTGAGCATGAAATTGCTAAACAACACCAATCAGTTCACATTATTCGTTTTCGAAGACTTACATATAGTTCACCATCAACTGCAGTCCAGCTGAGACCAGGCTTTTTCTTAGCACCAGATCTACTCAGTTCAAATCGAATACTCGACGCTTTGTCCATATCGCCGGTCGATCCATACAGATTCGCAAGTAACACTGTGGCTGATGTGATCAGATCGGGTAAGCGAGGAAAGAGCTTCTTCATCCGTTGGTGAATGCTTTCGACTAGCTGTTTGTTTCTTCGATTTCTTGCAGCTGATAGTAATGCCACTACAACGAAATCAATTTATTCACTCGTTCATTTCGATCATGAAGAGAACTGTTTCCGTATTCTCAAACACAACTCCTCTCATAGATGTTTCTCTTCTACCAACTGACTCACTGTACATGACAGGTGAAGGTGGATGATGCAGTTCATATTGATCGATCAGCTGTTGTGCTTCATCGAACAGTGATCCTCGACTTAGACAATCCATCTTCAAAAGAAAAACAAGGATCAGAGACACCTTTGACAGATTGAGCAGAATACGTCATTTGAGAATTACCATGGCGGCATAATGCTTTTCTGTTTTCGATTCGATGCTGGTGAAGATCGAGCGAGCTTGATCAACGAGTCCAGCATGCGAACATGCGTTAAGAACACAAACATAAGTGGAATCAGCAAGCAGCGATCGTGGAATCTGATGGAAAAGTTGGAGTGCTTTCACGCCCATTCCATTGATGCCATAAACATGAACTAAATAAAGAAATAAAGACCGAGAGGAAGGTGAAGGTGGTGCTGGTGAAATCAATAGCAGAACTGACTCATTGATGCATATCCGACTTGATCAATCGATGAAAGATTGGCGAAAACTTGTTCAGCTTTTCGCACACAACCAGCTTTACCCTAGGAACGGTTCATGAATAAAGACGTTTAACTATTCATATTTCATTGTCTATGTAATACTTACCCACATATCTATGAGAGCGTTAGATATTTTGCTATTAGAAATGATCTGTAGTGGAATGTCATCCACAATGGCCTGACATTGGGATGCCATGGCAATCTGTGCCGATGCATTGATCGCAAGTAGATAAATGACGAAATTTGACTGTGTTGCTTTCATATCTGAATGAAAAGACTGAACAGAATGAAAATATTTGATATGAAACGCTTACTTTTAATTTGATGATAAAGATCAAGAGTCTTGTTTGGTATTTTATTAAGAAGATATCCTAATGGAAAACAGTTTCAATTGGACTTTGTCAGCGAGATTAAATAAGATGAATACAACCTTTCATCATAGCTCCATACATAGGTAACACTTTGTGTGGTAACTTGTCGAAGATCGTCTCTGCTCCATTAACATCTCCACACTTCATGAAAGCATCGATTAAGGCAGTCAGCGCATGGTCATGGAGAAGAGACGTGTTTTGATACTTCTTCCACACGGCTTTGACCAAGTTCAACGATTGTTGTGAGGGTAGTTGAGCACAAGCATTGAAGAGTAGTGTGATGATAATTTCATGGGGATCTTCGACTTGTTTGAAAAGGTCGATTGCTTTTTCCGACATTTCATTTTCAATGTATCCTGAAAAACACTGGAACTCGATAGACTCATATGAAAACAATGAAAGAAAAGCATACCTTTCATCATTGCTCCATACATCGATAACGATTTGTTTCGTGATTCAGCGAAAACAGTTTCTGAATGGTTGACATCGCCACATTTCATGAGAACATTGATAAGGGAAGTTAGTGTAGTTTCGCTATGGACAAATTTAGTACTGAATTGTTTCCAAATAGTTTTGACCAAATGCAGCGATTGTTCTGATGGCACTTGCGCACAAGCTTTGAACAAAAGTGTGACCAGAACTTCATCAGGTTCGATGACTTGCATAAAAAGATCAATCGCTTTCTGCGGCATCTTGTTATCTATGTAACCTAAAAGGACAGTGCAAGTAAGCTAGATCATAGAAATAAATGACTAAAAAGAATACCTTTTATCATTGCTCCGTGCATCGATGACACTTTAGTTGAGAGTCCGTTGAAAACTGCCTCGGCGTCTTTGACATCTCCACATTTCATTAGAGCATCAATCAGAGATGTCAAGACGTAAGGATTGAGAAGAGGTGTATTTTGACACTGTTTCCAGATGTTTTTCACGAAGTTCAACGATTCCTCGGATGGTACCTGAGCACAAGCTTTGAACAAAAGTGTGATCAGAACTGCATCAGGTTTATCTATTCCTTTGAAAACTTCAATCGCTTTCTCTGGCATTGTATGTTTTATATATCCTGCATATAGGAAATGGTACATGTGAAGAAAACTATAATCAGATAAAGCAGCAGAATACCTTTCATCATTGCTCCATACACAGATGACACTTTACTTGAGAGTCCGTTGAAAATCCTATCTGCTTCCTTCACGTCCCCACATTTCATTAGAGCATCAATGAGAGCTGTCAAGACGTACGGATTGAGAAGATACGTATTTTGACAGTCTCTCCAGATATTTTTCACTAAGTTCAACGATTTCTCAGATGGTGCTTGAGCACAAGCTTTGAATAAAAGTGTGATTAGAACAGCATCGGGTTCGCTGACTTGTTGGAAAACATCAATCGCTTTCTGCGGCATCTCGTTATCTACATAACCTAAAAGAGCAGTACAAGTGTGCCGAATGATTGCAATAACTGACTAAAAAGAATACCTTTCATCATTGCCCCATACATAGGTAACACTTTAGTTGACAGGCCGTTGAAAACTGCTTCTGCACCCTTGACGTCCCCACATTTCATAAGAGCATCAATCAGAGACGTCAAGACGTAGGGATTGAGAAGAGGTGTATTTTGACACTGTTTCCAGATGTTTTTCACGAAGTTCAGCGATTGTTCTGATGGCACTTGAGCACAAGCTTTGAACAAAAGTGTGATCAGAACTGCATCAGGTTTATCTATTCCTTTGAAAACTTCAATCGCTTTCTCTGGTTTCCTATTTTCAATGTATCCTAAACACAATAAAAACACATCTCACAGTTCTTTCACTACAACTCCGATCAAAACTTCGAACCCTTCATCATCACACTACAAATATACACCGTTTTGTTTGTCGACATGTGGAATAGAGATTCAGCTGTGCTCATATCATGACATTGCACTACGACGAAACACCATTGAAGATAACGTCATCTCATTCGCAATGAACATACTGTAGAAGTGAATGAGAGATTTCACTAACGAAGAATCAGCTGATAATCGATGTTGAACCAACTGATGAATATCTTTTCCACGGCGAAAGTCACGCACTTGTACACATGCTTTCAACGCCTGATCGATGATGAAACTGGACAGTTGTTCCTTGTTCTTCTTCGTTTCTCTCTCGAACAACTCAATGGTTTGTTTGAACTGCTTTTTGTCATTGAGTAACTTCATCTGTTGACCGGGATCGATGTTTGTTGGGTGAGTGGAGAATGATGATGTGGATGAGATGCATGGTATTTGTTGTCTGAGAATGAAGAGAGTTCTGAACTTGAAATTAACATAAACGAGCCTGTTCAACATGATCGGGATACTATTAATGAACTAGTTGTAATAGATTATATACAAATTCTGAAAAAGAAAATCCGGTGTCAGTGCTTCGCCATCTATGCAATATTTCTATCGAATCGTCATCACTCATGACATATTCTCTTCACACTTCGCAGTTTGAATTCCGAGTTATTTAAGTAGAACACAAGTTTCTGAAGAGTAGTGTAATCGTTACTATTTCGAACATTCGTTTATTTCCATACGCTAGAAATCAAGAAAACAACAACCTACTCTTAGACTACTTTGTTATGTCTCGTTCTGCTACCTCTTTTGATTTCAATTTGAGAAATATTATGCCTTTTGAGAAAGTTGGTAAGAGTAAACAGCACAGGATCGGTTGACGTAAAACTATGGATAGGTATCACCAAGAATAGATAGAATATGGTAAGATACGAGATGAGATCTCATCGAAAGAAGTGTATGTTCACCTTCGTGTATCAACATAAATAGCTAAGTGTCTCGTTCGAATCACAATTCATCCATAGGCTGTGATCCGTCTCCACATGGTGTAAAGAACGATTTTTGATTGATTGAGACGAAATAAACGAAGGCCCTCGTTTCGACAGATAGCACTAGTAGTTAGTAAATTTTTTGTAAAGTAGTATAGGATATATTATCACTTGTGTTCAGTCGATGGAGTTCATCTTGATGAAACTTCGAGAAGTTGTTTCACTTTCAGAAACACTCGAACTTGCTATAGGAAGTTGAACAGCTAGAGAGCTTTGCTGGTATGTTCAGGCGTGTTATTTCGTATTTCGATGACTATATGTTCAGTGACGAACACAGGGGGGGGGATTGGGAGGGATCAATCCCCCCCGGAAAAATTTGTATCAGTGTGAAGCTAGCACGATCAAACGATGTGTTAGCTAAAAACTTTTTTACTAAGTATGTCCCGTCCATGAAAACTACACTATTCGACTCAGAATTAAATACTGCATCGAATGGTGGCACTTTTATTCACTGGACAAACTTTGGAAATTTTTCTATCTCAATTATAAATAGACCTAAAGGAAACGAACAAAGATATAGATAGAAAAATTTCCAAAGTTTGTCCGGTGAATAAAAGTGCCACCATTCGATGCAGTATTTAATTCTGAGTCGAATAGTGTAGTTTTCATGGACGGGACATACTTAGTAAAAAAGTTGTTGGCTAACACACCGTTTGTTCGTGCTAGCTTCACACTTATACAAATTTGTTATAAGCTTTTTTTGATACATGTAACGAACAAAAAGGATTATTTGAATTCATGTTTTGTCTTTTAATCTTTTATTATAAATGAACAAAGAATTGACTAAATAAGCTTTAGAAACTTTGATCCGCCCCCCGAAAAAAAATCCTGGGTGCGTGCCTGTATATGTTGTCAGATGAATCTTTATCAATTAACCAAAAATGAATGGAGAACATCATCCATCAAACGATATGTATGCGACTATTTCATTGAAAACCTTGATTAGGTCAAATGATGGAATGCCTCTTTTCGCCTAAATCGTTGAGCTAAATATAGCTTTGACGAAACAGATTGTGTGATGATGTGTAATAAGAAGCAGAATTATACTTAAATCTGAGTATTCATTCAGTTATTTCTACCTCTCGTTCTCTTTTTATCGCATAACGTAAAACTATTTCTGTTGAATAAGGGTGAAGGCGTTTGTCTCTTCTAACGCATTCAATCCTTGTTGATTGTCATGTCTTCTTCCTTTGTCCACTTTTCACTCACAGAAAACGACTGAAAAGGTCATTTAGTCGTACCTAATGAAACTTCAATGAAGCGTGTTTAAAACGCCGATGATATGGTGATTCATGTCTATCAATAGCCGTCTGAGTAATCGAAATAGAGAATTTCCTTGTCATGAGAGCGTGACCGTAGATTAAGATATGAACGAAGACGAAAGCGAAGTGACAAGATCTATTCGCATTCGTCTAGACATAACACTCTCGTCCCAATATTCACTTTTCACCTCTAAAGATGCAGAACAAGTTCACGATATTTTCATACATACCTACACTAGAATAGTGCGTGCGAAAGTCTCTTCAGAACGAGACTACGTCATTGTCGACGAGACAGAAATTTAAATAAAGAATGTTTGATGAAGCAAATCATGCAGGAAACTTTATGAGATCTTTTCTTACCATACACACTGATTCCTACTTGTCACTGCTCTCAAAACAATCGAATCATTAAGTTATCATCCGGATTCTTGTTGAAACGATACATCAAGATTTCCTCACATGGATTGGTCAACAGTTACACACGCAAACTGTAGAAATGACCAAATCTGAACGGCATGCAGCTACTAAGACTACGATCGATGATGGTTCTCATTCGAATGTCACTTAATCGATGTCTCTACGCACGACGTTCTTTTATCAACAAAACAAAAACAAAGGAAACTGCAGAGCGATCAGAAATAGTCATTACATGAACAGTGACCATCCGGATCGAAATGATGAATTCGGTTCGCATCACGAACCACTATGTGACATCGTCGGATGGCAGCGATCAGTTTCGTCGC